AGGCCTTGTTGTGCACCAGCCGACCCCAAAATCGCGGAGATGGTATTACGGTCGGGCAGCAGTCGGGTAACTTGCGACAAAGCCAAGATGTGTGTGGTTTGACAGTTAAGCGCCCTCAGGAAAATGAACTTTGTCCAGTTTTTGTTTGGGCTTTGATCAGCACGCTTGAGAAACCCAGTGCCCTGCACTTTGGGTCCGGGGAACTCACTGCAAGTGGCGGATGGTCTAGATATTTCGAATTCGCTGTGGGTCTCGAGTCTAGTACATTCCTTACATTTTCGTGTCAAAATGTGATCTTTGAGCATCTGAGGTATGCCGAACTCCTGCAGGTCTCACTCATCCGGTTCGCAGTCCTTAGCGGCATCGGCTCTGTGCGGCCCTCCCAACAGCAAGCTCCTTGAATGTATGATACAGGTCCGTGCGTGTTGGGCAAACCACATGGGATGATAATGTTGTTGAGCTGCCCCGAGAAGGACTTGCCCATGAGTTGAAGAACATGTACTTGTAGCAGGACAGGTTTAGAGGAAAGCAACTTGCGTAACTCCACGGTGTACTTTGTGGGCTCAGGAGAATGTTAACCTAAGAGTGTGTTTTCTGACCCTTGGCGGGAGCTCCTGATTCGCTAAGGCTTCGCCTGGTCACTTCGCCGTCCGACGGCACATATTCGAGAGAGGCCGATCAATGGATCTATGGAGCAAGTGGCTACGTCCCGATTTCATGCAACTGCCACTCGTGCCTTGGGGGGGCATGGAGGAAGAGTCCTGTGGGTTCCCATCACTCCTACAAAGACCCCTTGTTGGTTGCATTGGTTTTGTAAGGTACTGGGGAGCAAACACATGGTGCGGAGCAAAGACGACCTACTATCCCCAATTTTACGAGGCCGGCGGCGTTCGTGGCTTGAGGTGCAAGTACCGAGCGCCAGGGGGCCACCGCCGCCGACGTGGCTCGGTACGGAGGCGCTCTGCAGGGTATGGAGCCTCCTACTCCGCGACCACAGCAAGGCTTCTGGGTTGCTGCCCAAAGGAGCTTGAAGAATTAAACAAAGTTGCCAAAGACATGACATCATCTTGTTTTTTCCACTCCTTTCCCAGGCTTGGGCAGCCCTGTGCAGAGCTCACCAGTGCATGCCCAGCCCCTCCACCTCCGCCACCCTCGCCTTCGCCCTCGCCCTCGCCGTCTCCTTCGCCAACGCCGTCTCCGAGTTCCCGTTCGAGGAGAGCATGAAGAGAGAAGGACCTTGCAAAGGAGCTGGGAAGCCCGAGGCCAACATCGTTTAAGGCACATGTTTGTCCTTCGTCCCTCGAAGCCGAGGGAGGTTTAAACATTCTGAGAATGCGCCAGAAGTCTCGACCCAAATGTTTGGGTGAAAGTGAAGAGGGGGGAGAACCATGAGGCCTAACCTTGAGGCTAAAAACCTTCAGCCGCGCATGTCCTTCCAAGGCAGCTGGCGCTGAAACGAGTCACCGCCAGCTGTCCCAAGCACTTCGAGGCCTGACAGTTTCCGGTCCCAGGTGGATCCCCATATGCTCACTCCACAAAGCTCCCAAACCACCTGAACCTCTTAAATCTTAAGTCCAAAAACCTGAACTCTATACCCCAAGCCCCAAAAAGCCCTTGAACCCCAAAATCCCGATATACTACCCTCAACCCTTATACTGAGCCGCGCCCTGACACCAATTTCTTGGGCAGGCCCTGGCCAACGAGGTGACCTTGCTCCAGCAGCTGAAGGTTCATCCTGCGGGAAGGGGTTTTTACAGACGTGTAGGATGTCGGCCACCCCCCCCCCCCCCCCCCCCCCCCCGAAATTTCCCAAAGCTCCGGCTCATTTTATCTCCCTTGAACCAACCGAAACAACGGCACCATTCCTTCCAAGTTTACTGTTCAACCGCTGACAGGATAGGGCGCAGGCTTTGGAGTGTAATGGAGGCTTACACGGTTTAGGGTTTGGAGTTTAGACATCGGCGTCGCACTTTACTCCTGCAAGAGTTGTTCATGCCTGGCTGGTCGCACGTTTAGGGCTTCAGGGTTGACTGTTCATTGACTCTTAACTTACCCCAAGCCAACTAGCCGTTCAGACTTGTAGAGCAGCGGATTTGACCAGCTTTTGCCTCAGTCTTTGTCCTGCATTTCCCGCGATAGTAGTCGGAATATGTACATGTCCCAACCCAGTGGGGAGTAGTCCTAATCTCCTACTCCCTATATGATCAAGCTCTGCTCCCCTAGGGAATGCGACAAGCAAAGCTCAATCACCACTGGCTGCCCGAACCCCTAATTAGACCCCAAACCCTAAACCCTAAACCCCAAACCCTAAACCCTAAACCCCAAACCCTAAACCCTAAACCCCAAACCCTAAACCCTAAACCCCAAACCCCCCATTTCCCGCAGGACAGCCACAACATCATCCAGGTGCTCGATGCCGAGGCACCTTCCGCTCTCGGAGGGTTCGGAATTCAACACTCCGCCCGCTTAGGGTCGCAGGGTCCGTCCCAAACCCCTCGATGGAACTACACGAACTTAGGCGAACTCCCCTTAATTAAGCTTATTCACCCGAAACCCGACGACCCGACTACCCGAACTCCCTCAAATCAAGCCTGAGATCCAAGATGTTCAGGGTCCCAGGGCGAGTAAGGCTTCAGCCCCTGAGTCCCCAAAGGCCATGAGGGCTTGATCAGCCTTGTGACGGCCATGGGAAGAAGAGCATTGCACTAGAAATCAAGGTGGTTTACAACATTACAGCATGGGTTTGGGGGGTCTGCTTTTGATTCAGACTTTGCGCTGCAGGGGTTAGGCACGTTGCTTCCAGGTTCTGCCCGAGCGGCTTTTGATTCACATCGCCACGGACCAAGTAGAGTGGTCTGTTTTTGTTTTTTTGCTTCATTGTTCGGAGTACATTCGTCAGAGCTCTTGGGGTAGGCGCGCACCCAGGGTGCCATTATTAGGCTGTTTCAGAGGGTTGGGGCTTGTAGGGCTCGAAGAGTCTGGCATCTCAACAGAGAGACCACCACACAGAGGTCGGGAATCAGATGTCCTGGTCTGCATCCACGCTCGGTTTCTTACCCACACCGCCAAGCGAGGCAACATGTTGCAACAAGGGACGTGACGTTTCCGAAGCTAGGGCTGTTTCTGTTTGCTGTGCCTTCGGAAAAGCAGCCTTGGTCCTTCTGCGCTGGCCCAAACGGCAAAGACTTGCAAAAATTGCTGATGGATGCAGTAGAAGGCCTACAAGAACTGTGTCCTAAATTTCGGCCAGTTGACCTGCTTCAGGGGCTTCCACGCAACTGTGGCTGATCGGCCCTAATTCCGGAAGCTGGTCTTGATCCGAGGTTCGAAGTGAAGCTTGGGGCCTCTTTGCTCCTAAACACCAGAGGCTAAGGGAGAGATGGCAGCGCATCCCCCCAAGCCCCCAAACCGAGACCCACCACAGCTTCCCTGTGTCCTAAGCCCTAAGGTCATGGAAGAAGGGCAGATGGATCTGGGAAGGCAAAGATTGTGTGTGCACCAGAGGGGGTTTGGGGTTGTAGGCTTCTAGGGCTTCTGGGCACCCTCAGCGTGGGGTTGTTACATTTTAAGTCAACCATTCTCCTCACCCTGGTCTGGAGTCTCGCCGGCCCGCCGAGTACCCCTGAATTGTTCCAGAAAACCGAAAGTCCTGCCGATTATCTGCCGATAGAACCCTGAAGAGGGCCACCGAGATTCCCCCCCGAGACTTGTGCGGAGAGTCCCGCGACAAAAGCCTGCGGTGAAGCATCTGTGCCGGAGCGCTTCCCGGATTCTACGGTTTCGGGGTTTATATGCGGAGGGCTCGGGATTCTTCGGGCATCGTGCGACTTCTCTGAGCATCGTACCTGCAACTGTATCTACCCGCAGGGTGGTAATTACTCAGCGCACTTAATTGGAACCTGGTTTTTCCTCTTTGGCTTTCGTTTCACCCTTGAAGGGATTATGTATATATGTATATATATATACCCTTTAAAGGATTATATATATATATATATATATATTTATTTATTTATTTATATTTATATATTTATTTATGTATATTAATTTTGTTCTGGGCCTTTGGTGTGTTTTTTGTTTCTTGTGCAATTCTTGTTCCCCTAAACCCCAAACCCTAAGAAACCCTAAACCCAAACCCCAAACCCCTAAACCCCAAACCCTAAATCCCAAATCCTAAACCCCAAACCCTGAACCCCTAAACCCCAAACCCCTGAACCCCAAACCCCTAACCCCAAACCGTGAACCCCTAATCCCTACTAAACCCCAAACCCTGAACCCCTAAACCCCAAATCCTAAACCCCAAACCCTGAACCCCTAAACCCCTAACCCCAAACCCCGAAACCCCAAACCTTGAACCCCTCAACCCCAAACCCCAAAACCCTGAACCCCTAAACCCCTAAACCCCTAAGCCCTACTAAACCCCAAACCCCCAAACCCCTAAACCCCCAAACCCTGAACCCCTAAACCCCTAACCCTGAACCCCAAGCCCGAAACCCCTAAACCCTGAACCCCTAAACCCTGAACCCCTAAACCCCTAACCCTGAACCCCAAGCCCTAAACCCCTAAACCCTGAACCCCTAAACCCTGAACCCCTAAACCCCAAACCCTGAACCCCAACCCCTAAACCCCTAAACCCTGAACCCCTAAACGCCCTAAACGCCAAACCCCCAAACCCCTAAACCCCAAACCCTGAACCCCTAAACCCCTAACCCTGAACCCCAAACCCCTAAACCCCTAAACCCTGAACCCCTAAACCCTGAACCCCAAACCCCTAAACCCTCAAACCCTAAACCCCAAACCCCTAAACCCCAAACCCTAAACCCCCAAGCCCCTAAACCCCAAACCCTAAACCCCAAGCCCCTAAACCCCAAACCCCTGAACCCCTAAACCCCAAACCTTAAACCCCTAAACCCCTTAAACCCCTCCTGAACCCCCTAAACCCCTTAAACCCCTAAACCCCTTAAACCCCTAAACCCTGAACCCCTAAGCCCCTCAACTCGCTTGGCATCCTCCCGGAGGCTGCTCCAAGCCGAGGCGGACATGACCCTTGGCGAGGTCCAGGCCAGAGTCCTAACTTGAGTCCTAACTTCATGGCCTTATATATATATATATATAGATATATACTAGTATTGTTATAATTATCATTGTTAGTATTATTGTTTATTATTATGATGAATATTTATTATTTCATCCCCCTGCCCCTGACAAGAGATACAAGAGTATTCTCTTACATAACCATTGTTGAACTTTAAACCTTGTTTGGGTTTCCTAATATCGTTGGAATTCTAAAGCTTAACCCCTTTTGTTCCTTAATTATCGGAGAGGCCTGCGTTGTTGTATTAGGGTTTACGGTCTTGGGTGCAGGCGCACCGCCTTACCCCTTAATATCAAGTGTTCCCATCATCGCATGTGATCGACTAGGGGTGTATGATTTGGGAGGCATGATGGGGCTTCTGCGCCCTGGGCCCTGAACTCCCTAAACCCTAAACCCTGAGCTGCGGGAGTTGCGCCGTTTGCCTTGGACTGCCTGGTGCATACAGGGTGCAAGGGCAAGACTTTGGGGCCTGCCTGAAGTTCAGGGTTTGAGGGTTTCAGGGTTTGAGGATCTGCGGGTTTGAGGGTCTGTAGGGGGCCCCTGAGGGTTCATAGAGGGTTTGAGGGTTTGGGGTTTCAAGGCCCTTAAGCCCTAAAACCCCCAAGCTAAGGTGCTGTGGAGGCAGATGCTGGAAGCGGTTCAGGCATGCAGCGCAGAACGATATTCAACAATTAATAATACAAACAAATTTGTTGTAATTAAATTAGACCAGAATAACATGGTAGATGGCATAAAATCATCGAACAAATATTATGAACTCAAAACAATACAATAGCAGTACATAATAATACAATGAGTGAAACCTTGTTGGATTGGATCAAGCCGGGTGTGCGTGCGATTTGAGGTTGTAAGGTGTTGCGCTTAGCGTAATGAGAGTATAGGGTTTACGGCACATGATAAGCGTTACGAGGCCGGCACTGACGAAAGTTTATCGGTTTGCGCCAGGCCACCAAGCATCATGAAGAACCATCTTCTCTGCAACCCTAAATCCATCTAAACCCTAAACTCTAAACCCCAATCCCTAAACCCTAAACCCTAAACCCTAGAGCCGCTTCGAAGTCGGACAAGCTTTGGCAAATTGGGCCCTGCAGGTCGTTCACCGCGAGAGGGTCGTCCACTCTGACCTTAAGGTGCCTCTTTCTTGTTCTCTGGGTATAGTTTGTTATTCTATTGCTATTTTTCTGTTGTTGCATGGATATGAGTATTATATAAGTCTAGAAATACAACTGTGTTGTTGGGTTGCCATGTTCATGTCTGTATGATATTATGTTCTTACACTGTTGTGTCTTTTATATCTCTCTACTATTCATGGTCTTTTGGGATTGGTCCCCTTGCCGCAACAGATTTGGCCTCCGCCAAACAAAGGCTGAACGCCGAAAGCCTTTGGCCGCCTCAACCCTCAACCCTTATAGCCCCTTTTCGCTTGGGACCCCCCCCCCCCCCCCCCCAAAACTCTTGACCCTACACCCTTAACCCTAAACCCTTTCTGCCTTAAAAGCCTGCATGCCAACTCCGCTAGCCTGGAAACTTCCTCCTCGTGAAGCAGAGCCTCAAGCTCATCGACTTCGGCATCGCCAAGAGGCTTGGGGGGAGGCTATGGGGATACTTCCGGTAGGGTTTGTGGTTTAGGGTTTAGGGTTTAGGGTTTAGGGTTTAGGGCAGTTCATGTTGGGCTTCGGTGCGTGTCTTTGTTCCAGGTGATGGGATGCCCTACTCCCCCACACTACTCCCCTCCCAAAATGAGAGTTTACATAGATCTCTATTCGCTGTTTGATAAGCCGTGGTTTATGCTTCGTAAAGTAGTGTAGGAAAAGCCTGAGGTACAACTCAGAGGCAGACAAGTGCAGACAGCAGTACGTGCGGATGGCCGCGAAGCTCACAACCAGGTGCAGTTGTGTGTTGAATTCAACACCCTCCGATCTAGACAACAAGGCTCAAAAGAGGCGCCGGCCAGCCCCAGATAAGGCACAAAAGAAGGCCCAGACAAATCTGAGCTCTGGGCTTCCTGCAACAACCACAACATCCAGACCTGCCACCACCCCACACCCACCATCGCCACCGGCACCATGACGACCACCAGTACCACAAGCACAAGAGCCAGGACCACCATCACCAGAAGCAGTACCACTGCCAACAACTCCCATGCCGGCGCACGTTCCAAGGATTAGGGGTGTTCGTAAGTTTTTGAAAGGGGTGAGGCCCTCTAAAGCCCACCACCTTGAAAAGGCAACGATAGGGGGGGCGGGTTAACGCCTCTGTATCAGAAGTCGTTCGTTTAAAGGTAAGGTGTACTGGGCAGGATCGCAAGCAACACCACGAACATTAGCCGCGAGTCCTCGGTGGGCACCATCAGCTACATGGCACCGGAGGCACGGCCGCAAGGGCCGCATGGTGGGTTTGTGGCTTGGCGATTTTGGGACTTTGGGAGTTGGGCGGCTCAGGGCACTGGAGTATGCATGTGGGGTTTAGGGCACTTTCATGCTTTGCACCCGCGATCCGACCTTGCCAGTCTGACTTGCCAAGGTCCAAGCCTCAAAAAGGGGCTTGTTCCAAAGTGTCCTTGGTGTCTTTCTCTCGCTCTCTCTGTCCCTCTCTTTCTCTCTCCATTTGTATTCGGATCGGTTAGGGTACCAAGGGCCCCCAGTTTAGGCTAACCTTCTAGGACGGCTGGCAAGCAGGCCGTGAAGCAGGGTGCGGTGAAGATGGGCCGCCCTTCGGATGTCTGGTCCCTGGGCATCATCCTGTGCCCTCCCCTATGGTTTAGTGTGCCTGGGCCCGCGCAGTTCCCCCCCAAACCCTACCCTATAACAGTTTAGGGTTGAGGGTCTGGGATTTAGGGTTAGTCAATGCTTATTCTGGGTAGTTGGGGGACAACCCTCACCTTCCCAGAGCTTGCACCCTGAACTCCCTGCCTAGTCCCCAAACCCTTCAGAAACCCTCGAAGATCCAGGTTCCCGACAGCCTGCGAAATCCTGCACCCTGAACCCTGACACCTAAGCCCGAAACCCTGCACCCTTCCCCCAAAACCCTTTCAGGCCGAGACACCTTGAAAGCACCCCTGCGCCGAGGAGCCCCCCATTGTTCGTTACCTTAAACCCAAAACCTACCTCTTTGTTGGTTGTCGAAGAACCCGATAAAGAGGCTCTGTAAGAATTCAGAACCGACAAACCTTTCGTAAACGGCCTACATGAGTGCCCTGAACTCCAAATCCTATAAGCCGCCAGGTACCAGATGGTCTACATGAAGGCCCCTTTTGCGCACCTAGACCCCATGCAGCGGCTCTTCGCGCTAACGGCAGCGGTCTCAGGGGCGGATGTATTGGGGTTATAAGGTTTATGCCATAACATGCCTATTACGAATGTTATGGGGTTTAAATTCGGAGTCTTGGCAAAGGGTTGAGAATCTAGAGTCTTGTATATCTGTGAAGGGTCTGTGGAGTCTGTGGGGCTTAGAACCCATAGCAGGTACTTTGCCGCTCAAAAGAAGCTCAAACGACAGGGTCTCAAGCGCATTCGATCTCGAGCCATTTTCGGGCAGTGCCCCGAGCCCGAAGTAGCCGCAAACCCAAGCCTCAGAGCCCCCATCGCCAGCCTTGAGACTTCTCCGGTTCAGGGGGATCCTATTTGGGAGTAGATTTCGGAGGGTTGCCAGCGCCAACCACGAACTCTCAACCCTCAACTACCATCCCTAAACCCCAAACCCTAAACCCCAAACCCTGAAACTCTAAGCCCCCCCCCCCAAGCTCCAGGACCCCGGCATGGCCGTGGAGTTCCCGCAAGGCCACCGCTTCGAGAGCCACTCACAGGAGGCGAAGGACCGGGAGTCAGGGGTTTGTCGAGGGGGGGGGTTTAGGGTTTAGGGTTTAGGGTTTAGGGTTCAGGGTTCATTCAGGGTTCAGGGTTTTAGGAGTTGTTAGGGTTGTTAGGGTTGTAGGGTTTAAGGGTTTAGGGTTCAGGGTTTCAGGGTTTCAGGGTTTTGGGGATTCAGGGTCGGGGATGACAGGAAATACAGTATATCAGGAGTTGAGGATGACTGTGCGAGCTGCTAAACCGCAGGGGCTAGGAGATGTTTTGAGCAGAAAGCGGGTCGAGAGGACTGTATACAGACGTCAAGTGGAGAAGGAGTCCCTGCAGGTGCTCTTGTGTAGCCCCTGAACCCATGGCCAGGATTCCTTGCTCGACGTGTTGCAGAGGCCTCGTGGTGCGCACAGACAGACACACACACACACACGAAGCATCAGTAGTCAGAACTGTCATCGTGATAGAGAGACTGAGAATGGTAGTACTAGTAACTAGTAGTGCGAAGGTGAAAGATAGATAGACTGATAATGGTAGTACTAGCAGTACTAAAACTCAGTCAGTAACATGAATGTTGGCCTGATTTAAGGTGCTCCCGCCCCCCTTGCCCCCCCAGCCCCCACCCCACCCACAAACAGTCGAAGCCCACTTGCGCCCTCTTTGGATGGTCTGGAAATTTTGCAAGAGGCGCATCCCTACCTGGGGTTAGATTTCGGGTAAGTTTAGGCTTTAGGGTTTTAAAAATGCACCGCGAGAAATACCCCTTCGACGCTCGGAAGACTTGAAGCGGATCCACCGGACACCCAAAAACGTAGCGAGATCCTGAATAGCCTGGCCAACTTGACTATACAGAGGGCAGCACCCACTAAAGCGGTCCAACGTTGTAGCATTTGGATATGAGTGAGCATGTAGACTTTGAAGATTTAGTGTTACATGTCAAACTCTTACTGGCAAACATTTTCGGTACGGTGTCTACATTTAGGAAGGAACAATGCCACGCCCTGTGAGGTGCTTGCAGCGAGAGCCGAGCAAGCGGCCCACGATCCCCGAGCTTCTGGAGCAGTTCCGGCCCATTACTTCTTGAGAGTCTATATATCTTTTTTATAGGTATATGTATATGTGAATATATTATGTATATTGAGGGTACAATAAAAAACTCATGAATATCTCTATAATCTACATATATGTGTGTGTACAATATTACATAGATACATAGGGTTAGAGTTGAGGGTTGCAGGCGTGGATTTGGGTCACTAATACTATTTAAGTTTGTTTAGTTTGGTTCTGTTTGTCTGCACCTTGTGTGCTGTGGTCGTCCTTGTATGGCGGTCTAACACCGCCGGGGTGCAACCGTTGTACTAACGGTTGCACCTGGGCCTTTAGTGCCCAACCCTGTTTTGTGAGGCTTATGGGCCTCCAAAAACTTGCATACAGGCGTTTGAGTTGGTGTTAATTTGCTTCGTTGGTATTTGGTGACTTGCTTGTCGTTGTTGTAGTTGGTGTAGTCGCTGCTTATCCGCTGTTTGGGCACCTTTGACCGGCGGTGTTTAGCGTGAGAGGGGGGCGGGAAGGGGGTTGCAATGACGGCGGGGTTTTGCAGGATATTCATGTCCGCGACGTGCTCTGTCTCTTATTGCTGGGTGCCACAAGAGTAGGGCGCTCTAGCCGATGCTGATGATGCTCGGGAGATTATCATGATGGGCTGGTGCTCGTCATGCTTGGGAGTTGCGCGGGCCAAGCCAGCTCCCAGCCGATGCTCGTGAGCCTCAGAGCTTGAGGTCTCAAAGCCCGGGCCAGCCGCCTGATGCTCGGGGACCGTGGGCCAGCTCCTCACATGATGCTCCCGGGTTGGGGTCTCAAAGCCCGGGCCAGCTCCCAGCTGATGCTCATGTTGCTCCCGGGTTTCCGGACCAGCTGATGCTCATGATGCTCCCGGGTTTCCGGACCAGCTCCCAGCTGATGCTCATGATGCTCCCGGGTTGGGGGTCTCAAAGCCCGGGCCATCCCAGCTGATGCTCATGTTACTCCCGTTTGGGGTCTCAAATCTCCCAGTGTTGCTCATGACGCCTTCGGGTTGGGGTCTCAAAGCCCAGGCCAGCTCGCATCTGATGCTCATGATGCTCCCGGGTTTCCGGACCAGCTCCCAGCTGTGAGTGCTCCCGGGCATGCTCCCGGGTTGGGGTCTCAAAAGCCCGGGCCAGCTCCCAGCTGATGCTCATGATGCTCCCGGGTTTCCCGACCAGCTGCCATGATGCTCCCCGGTTGGGCCCCCCCAGCCCGGACCAGCTCCCAGCTGATGCTCATGATGCTCCCGGGTTGGGGTTTCAAAGCCCGGGCCAGCTCCCAGGTCATGCTCATGATGCTACGGGTTCCCGGACCAGCTCCCAGCTGATGCTCATGATGCTCCCGGGTTGGCCTCACAACCCGGGCCAGCTCCCAGCTGATGCTCATGATGCTCCCGGGTTTGGGGTTTCAAAGCCCGGGCCAGCTCCCAGGTGATGCTCATGATGCTACGGGTTCCCGGACCAGCTCCCAGCTGATGCTCATGATGCTCCTGGGTTGGGGTTTCAAAGCCCGGACCAGCTGATGCTCATGAGGCTCCCGGGTTTGGCTCATGAGGGTTGGGGTCTCAAAGCAGCTGATGCTCATGATGCTGCCGGGTTGGGGTGGGGTCTCAAAGCCCGGGCCAGCTGCCAGCTGATGCTCATGATGCTCCCGGGTTTGGGGTCTCAAAGCCCGGGCCAGCTCCCAGCTGATGCTCATGATGCTATGCTCCAAGGAGAGTCTCAAAGCCTAGCCGGCTCCCTCATGAAGCACAATCCCGTTCCAGCTGATGACCCGACCCTTCAGTTGGTAGTTCAGTGGCGCCCTTTTAACATTTGTTTGGTTCAGAGTTCACTTATACAGTAGCCAACCCCAAAACGGGTGCCCTTGTCATAAAATTACTGGTCTACCAAGTTCAGTAGCCAAGGGTTCAGGGTGTGCCAGGCATCCCTTCCTGGTGTCGGAAACCATTCAGTGCGGTGCTTGGCGGGCTCTCATACTCGGGGCTCGGGATTCGGAGTGCTTCGTGGATGTTCCTCCGACTGCCTGCAGAAACCTCCCCTGTAACTCACCCTCTAACCCTGCAGCCAGTCAAAACTAAACCCTAAGACCCCAGCTGCTAATTACCCCCAAGACCTAGGCCCTGGCACTTCAAGCGCGGAGGAACTGCCCAGGAAAACAGCAATTCGCACTGACCAGATGAACATAAATCCCGCAACAAACGAACGAAGACCCTAAAGGGTTTCGGATTTGGGGAGGGCTGCCAGCCGGGGCCCTAGGCTGAGCCGGGCAAACTTCGATCGTACCATGGAGGCTCCCGGGACATCCGGGCTCGAAGGGACACCGTGGAAGTTGTAGATTGTAGATCGATGGAGGAGAATCACCCTTTCCCCCGATCCTTTTCGGATTCTGCTCAAGCCTGTTTTTCTTTGTTCTTTTTTTTTTTTCTGAAGTCCTTGCTATCCTCCAACCATCGCCCACCCAAATGCCTCCATGACAGACCGAGACCCTTCCGAGTTCGGGTTTTAGAGTTTTCGGGCTTAGGGCTTAGGGAGGGTTCAGGGCTTGGGAACCTACATCCCAACAGCTGCGCACCCCTCGACAACCTCCTGGTGACATCTGGTGACAGGCGCTTGTTCGGAGCTTTATGGGCGCGGCGCAGGAGGCGATAGAATCTGCTGGAGGCCCCGAAGGGCCTGGGATGGTCTAAAGGATGTTCTAAACTTAAACACAGCAGCCTACAACAGTTCCTGGATCCATACTATCCCGCAATCATTCCCAGAGCATAATTTCAAAGACCCAGGGTACCCATCCTGTGCGAACCGGCTCCTGAATTTATTCAGGCCCTTTAATCGTTCCCTTGAGGGTCACGCTGTTGGGTTTCAACTGCCTGCCTGTGGTCCGAACACCGGTCAATACGCGGTTTAGGGCTCAGGGCTTCAGAGCCTTAATCGACACACTAGCAGACCTCGAACCCTGAATCCTACCCAGCGTATGTATGTTTGGGGGTTTTCGGATTCAGCGGCTTAGGAATGTGAGATTTCGGCTTTATGGATCTAGAGCCACGTTTCACAGAATTGTATGTGCATCCGATAAAGAGGAAGGTGCACCTGCATTATGAAATTATGCATACAGTTCTATTCACTGTAGCGGGCTACATTAAGTTGGGTGAAGACGCCGGTAACCCAGGCCCCCGAATCCCCAAGGCCCTTTAAAGCGCCCTAGGCCTTTAAACCCTATACCCCTAAACCCTAAACCTTGCAACGCTCCTACAGCTATGACCCTATCTGGACATCCAGTTGCCAGGACCATCATCTGCCAACGCCGCAGAAGGCGCGGCTTCTGGGTAAACGATTGCCCGATCCCTTTGGGCGCTGAAAAGCCCATAGTTCAACCCCACACGTCGGTTTCCGAGGTTTACCGCCTCGGGTTGAGTTTCGGGGTTGAAGAACATCAGGATTTAGGGAGCATGGTCGAGAAACCCTGAAGATACCGAGGCAACAGGGTCTGGTTGAAGGCCAAGTGCTTGGCCCGTACTTGTTGCACTTCAGGGCACACGCTCGCTCACCCTCCACTCGTGTTGACACACATCTGTTGAACTCCGAGGCTCATCTTAGGATTGAGGCTTCAAATAGCTGTTGTTTGCATGCTGCTAACCACGTTGCGTCTTGGTCTCTTTCTTCTCGGGGCCTATTAGAATTTCCACCCTGTGGACAACGAGGCACATACAGAGCACGGGTGTGTTCAGGGTTCAGAGATGTTCGGAGCACTCCTGGAGGCCCTCCAGTTTGCTGGCAGATCCTGGCAGACGAGGCTGGAGACCGCTTTTGCGTCCTGTGGTCCTCCCTGGTGATGGCAATCATGGGCCCTTTTTCTTTGGTGCACCCTAATCCGCAAGAGGGGTTTTCTTTAAGAAGAAAGGGGGCCATCGGAAGGGCCCATGAGGGCCTCTGGTTTGGATCAACGTCCGTATGTAGGGCTGGTGAGCACAGCACTATGGGTTTGGCTGCCGACCAGGGGTCGGTATTTGGGGTCTGCGTAGACCCCCCCCCATCCAAGCTCCTGAAACCTGAGCCCTAACCCTGAAACCCTCAATGACCCTAGAGCTGTCAAACCTTAAACCCCTAAACCCTAAAATTGTGAACCCTAGACCCTAAAACCCTAAACCCTCAGCCCTGAACCCCAGATCAACCCTGAAGCTTTATGCCGCTACACCCAAAAACCTTAAAACCCTTGCCCCCCCCCCCCCCCCCAGGCTTGGAAGCGCATCTCAGATGGCAATGCCGGCTGGCAGGTGGCGCCTCCCAGCACACCGACCAAGCTAGGCTTCAGGGGCTTACCGAAGTTTTAAGTTTAGTTTCTTTTTTTTTTGTGGCGGGGGGGGGGGGGAATATTGGCCTTTTTCCTGTGCACCTCGCGCGCCCGACACCCCCCTCAGACAACCGCCCGACACCCCCCTCAGACAACAGAGTCGAATCTACTTTTGGGAAGCTGCCCCCGGAAAATCCTATATGTACGACATGAACCCGGCAAACCCAACAAACCCCCAACAATGCACATCCTGCAGCCCCTAGACCCCCCCCCCCCCCCCTAAAGCCCTAAAGCCCCGAAAATAGCACCCAGGCTACTCATTGAGCGTATGTCGTCCCTGAGCTACAGAGGCCTAATCTTAATCTGGCAACCCCCGGCCTATCAAACCCAACAAACCCTAAGCTATGTGTTCTTAGTTTCTGGAATTAGGGATTTCTAGCAGTACGAAGAAGCCTGAACCCTAATACATCACCAACCAAGAACAACCCTAAACCCCCAAACCCAAAACCCTCCACCCTAAACCCCAAACCCTGAGCTTTGATGCAAGGCCAAGGACCAGACCAGGGTCGATTTCCCAGGGCTGGCACCGTTCCGCGAGGCGGGAACCTGGGGTTTAGGGTTTAGGGCTTCTAGGGTTTAGGGCTTTTAGGGGTCCGACATGGCCGCTTTCCTAAGTTTGAGGTTTGTTGTTGGGGTGGAGGGCCTTTGGGTGCTTTGATATGAAGGGCATTGTGCACCAAATGGGGCTCCTAGATCATGCAGGCAAGCACGTTCTGATTCAATGACAGAATGTGTCCCCAGAGTACATCGCCGAACGGACCTGGGTACAGGAGAAGTTCCGGGAGACCCCTGAACCTTTGCCGAAACCCTAAACCTCAAAATCCTGAATTGCTAGACTTCCAAAGCAAAAAAGCCTTTACTTGAACAGGCCATGGTCCCGACATGAATACCAAAAACCCCTAAACCTTAGAAATCCCCAACATCCCCAAACCCTCAACCCTTGCCTCAGTGGCTGGCGCGCGGCTTCAAGCGCCAGAAGGTTGCCGAAGCTCCGAAGGCCCCAAATGTGATGAACGTCTGGCTTGGTGTAGGGTTTAGAAGTACAGGTTCCCTCGTTCCTGTTTTTGATAAACGGGCACGAGGATAGCGAGGATTTGGAAGGGTACAGGCTGTACAGGGTTTAGGGTTTCGGGTTTGCTTCCGCGCAAAACGTTTCGTGCGAGATCTGGGTTGTGCCTGAACTCGCCTGAATTCTGAAGTTTTGGGTTCAAACAAAAAGGGCCAACAGTAGAGTCAATAGAGTTGCTCCGAAACCCGATGTCCAGAGCACTGACCTTAGTTCCAGCACCGGAGACGGATTCAGGTTCCACAAACTTTCCCCTACTCTTCGGAGCCAATACCTTTAACTGCCTTCAACACTCCACACTGCTGCGGTCTACAGTACCTGGACCCTATAGTCACAGAAGGAAGGCTTTTTCGAGGTCAGGAGCATGGGCGGAAGAAGGCAGCCCTAAACCCTAGACTCTAGACCCTTAGCGATCACTTTCGCAGCATTGGTTTTTAGCTTGGCCTGGAACCTCGCGAAAAGCCCTAGATGTCATGACTCATTAACCTCTTGCCCTCTAAAGCCTAGACTCTCCAGGTTTAGATGTATGCTTGGATGAGTGTTGAGGCACTAGGGCTTGTGCCAGGCAGGCCCTCATGATGTCCCCGAATTTTCCCTCGCTGAGTTTACGAGGATTTCACTTAGGATCTTTAGAGGTATTTTGAGATGTTTTAACCCCCCAAACCCTTGAGAGCAGCCTCTCAGGTCCCCGCACCGGCCGCCGCACCAAACGCCAAAGGCCGGTACAGGGCATTCAGCCATGGCTGGTATAGTCCAGGATTTCAGGCTATGCACTTACAAAACCGAAGTTTGCATCTCCTTTAAACGGCCTGTCATATTCGCTGTTAACATGTAGCACACGTGTGTTTGCTTTTGCTGTTGCTTGTGTTAGGTAAATTGATAATATAACAGATGAACCATGATATATATATATATAATATGTAAGATGTATCATTATACGAATATATCCATATATTGATGATCTTCTGGCTGCTTTTGCAAGTTCGAGCCCTCTGAGCCCCGAAGCTCCAAACACCTCAATGCCCCTAGCACTGGCCACCCCGCGCCCCAAATCTTACATCTGCTCTTCATTTGTCCTTGTGTTGTCGGGTGGGCGAATCCCAATCACCCTAAAAGGTTGGATGTAGACAGGGAGCTAGCTGCATGACTAGCATGGGGTTGAGGCACCACCAAGAGCAAGAACTGATCCCTTGACAGGCAACTGCAACTCTGCTGCTTGTTCATTTCTTCCTTATGCGAAACCTGAACCCCAAACCCCAAACTAAAACCTGGATGAGAGGTTAAGGGTGGGCCCGCAACTCTCAAACCCTCCAAGAACCGGAGCCCCCCCCCCCCCCCCCAAAAAAAAAAAAAAAAAAAAACAAGTCCGAGGTTAGGATGGGGTTTGGTGTTGTCAGGCGCCGTGGCTGCAGCGGCTCCGCAAGGGCCTCAGGTTTCAGGGTTCAGGGCTTGTAGTGTCTCCACTTGTAGAGCTTGTAGGACTTGTAGGCTTCAGGGCAAGTGGTTCAGCATCTGGATTTGAGAGGTATTGCGCCGAAAGTCTAAACAACCTTCAGCACCGACGAAGGATTCAGGCGTTTTGAAGCCTGGGCGAGGGTTCTATTCTTCGCCCCAGCCAACGCGCGCCTCAAAGCTAACTTCTTCATCGGTCCCAAGACGTTGACTTTGCCCAGCACCCCAAGCCGCATGGACGAGGTGCACGTCCCTCTTTGAAGGGCCTAAACGCTTTGGCCTACGTGTCCTAGCATCCGCCCGAAATTCCCCCTGTTCTCTGCCTCATGGCGTTTCTTAAGCAACTTGAAGCTGTTAATGGTCCAACACAGGGACTCTGAAAAGGAGATAATTACATGAAGGCCTGTTTGGGGCTACTTAGGTATATGGACTATCTGAACCTCCCGACCCTCCCCAACCTGATGCTCTGAGCCCTCATCACGAGGCCACCCGCCCCGGTTCCCTCCTCGCGTCCGGGGCCAGCAGAGGGCTCAGGAACTGCGGGGATTCATCGCTTAAGGCTGATGACTTGTGGCCTTAGATTCTTGTTTTTTGCTTCACCCTCATATCAAGAGCCCCGTCTGGGTCTATCATGGTCATGGCTGGCAATGGCTACTGATGAAGGCAAGCGTTTCTCTACCGGGGAACATGACTGACTTTGCCAAGGGGAGTTAGGGGATTTCCTGGCCAAATCTTGTAAACTGGAGGCTTTGCACGCTGTGGAAGCATATTCAAGACAAGGACTTCAACAGTGCATAGTGCATGGAGGGGTTTTGTTGGGGTGTTGCCGCTTCTAAACTTCTAGGGCCTAGGGGTTGCGAACAAGACCTTCAGGCTTTTTTTTTTTTGGGGGGGGGGGGGGGTTCAGCGTTTTGGTTTTGGGGTAGGGCGTTCGGGGCTTCCTTGCGAGAGTTTTGCCCCAGAAGGCTTAAGGCGGTTTACTTGGGGGCTTTGCCCGGAAGAAACTTTGTGCCTGAAAAACTGGGCCACTAGGCCCAATGTATTTCTGGTACCTTACCCCTGTTCAAGAGGTACACAGGGTTACTCTGCTAGCTTAGACATCCCGGCATTAGTCCCTGATCTCACTCGAAGCCGCGAGCCCCGAGTGGCACAGGGAACCAAGCCGCCGCAGAAGCCGGGCGAAAGGCGTGTGCCGGCGCCTCGGGAGGGGACAGCAGGGTGTGGAGGACGTCGAGTGTGTCAGCTCTGCTGACCACCCGGCATGTGGGACAATTGCCTCGCAGTTCCTAGCTATCCCCATCCTCATGCCATGGTCTCTCAATCAGGGCTTTTTGGTTCTTGACTTGCTCAGATGCTGCACAGCGCATGGCCGGATCTCCACAGGTATCTATACTAACTCTACATCCCCAAGGCCCGAAGAACCGTGACGATGCACTTCCCGAGGCCTTTGCATCAGGCTGCCCCTCCTAACGCCAAGGCAGGCCCTTGGCCGTAGGGGAGTTTGGCCTTGTCTGGAGGGGGGGGGGGGGGGGGGGGGGGGGTAGGGGTGAGTACGTTCTCTAGGGTCCATGCAATTAGACGGGGCTACATAGAGCATGAGTGTCCAGAGAGTCGCAAAAAGGTTCCCGAGAGTTGCCCGGCTTGAGTCGGAACCCTTGGGGCCCCCTAAGCCCTAGGCCCCCAACAGTCCTGGGTAGGCCTCATGTTCCCTTATAGGGTGTAAGAGGATCATGTGTAGGAACATGTTCTTTTTTTCAGCGGGCTTTTTAAAGCTTAAAGTGCCAATCTAGCTCCACAAGCCCGGGCCACTCGAACCTGCGCAGGGCGATGGCGGGCGACCGCCCATCCATGCGGAGCGATGGTCTTGGGGGTCAGGGGCATGTCTATAGTTGTATTTTGTGTATCAATATGCATCTGAATATTATAAATTAATAATTTATGTGTATTTCTATTTATTTAGAGAGAGAGAGAGCGAGAGAATATGTCTTTATGGCTTAGAGTATGGGATCGGTCCATACCCCCTATCTTCAGTGTTGGACTCAGGAGCTAAGACTGTTAGACAAGTAGAGACTTAACCCCCAAAGGGAAACCTGAACCTTACGAGGATTGGGTTCAGGCGGAGTTCAAGGCCCAGAGACATGAGCTACCAGCACCGCGCCGCATTTCGAGCAGCTCCATCAACATGACGGGTTGTACAGGGTTCCACAAAATCTCATATATCATGTTGCCTCCACTCCTCCTCACCCAATCAGGGCGAGAGGTTTTGGCAGTGTCAGCCTTAACCAAACCCTAAACCCTAAACCCTAAACCCAGAGGCGGAGGGCCACCAAAGCCAAGGTCCTGGAGGCTTCGTTCATGGCTTCATAGATTCACACGTCTCCTCAAACCTACAAGAACCGAGACAACCGAAAATCCATCAGCCTTGTACCTCCGAACCCTAAATCCCAAAAAACACCTCAACCCTGAACCCCCCCTCCCCCGAAACTGAAGCCCTGAAACCCAGGGCCATCCCCAACGAATTGCGACAGCTGATCCAGGAGCTGCTCCAGAAGCAGCGAACCAACCTGCGAAAGGCGCGAAGACGAAGGGCGGGAGCTCGGGTTACCGGGGCCCTTGGGATATAATGTGTTCGTGTATCGGGTTTAAGAGGACTTTTATGTAGGGTTATTGCAGAGGGATTGAAGGGCCGACCTGGGTTAGCTAGGGGTTTGGGGGGTTAGAGGTTTGGGGGGGTTGAGAGTGAAGAGGGTGGAGGATACCTTGAGGGTTTGGGTGTGGTGTCTATGGTAGTTTAGTTTTGGACGGCTTGGATGGCTTGGATGGCTTGAGGTTGTGTAGGTTTAGGGTCTAGGGTTGAGGGGTAATAGATAGGGTTTTGGTCGTTCTGGTGTATGGCTGAAGATGCAGGCTACCTCCGCAATGTCTCCTTAGCAACTCCCAGCACAGCGAACCCAAAACCCTGAACCTTGAACCCTAAACCCTGAACCCTGAACCCTTGTAAACCACACTTAACTTGACATCCCCATGACCTGCACGCTGTAGGCTGCCGGGACTGGCGTCACTGTGGGGAAGGCCCAGGGGAGGCAATGTTGGTATTAGGGGCTTAGAAGGCTTCAGGCTGAAACACTATTCAGGGTTCAGGGTAGTACTCCAGGGCGTGGAGTTTGGGGTTTTGGGATGGTAGGGCTCAATTGGAGGCTTATTAGCTCGTAGCATGGTTTAGGGACCTTGGGCCGGCGGCTGGAAGCCGAGCCCCTTCAAGAAAAAATGAAGGCCGGCTGGCATGGGCCTTTAGAGTGTAGGACATCCCCTTTGTTGCAGCAAAGGGCGCCCCGGCCTAGTTAATTGAGGGCCTGAACTTACGTGTTCTTGGGAGAGATGTCAGTCAATTCGGTACCTTGTATAGTCCCGTACAGGGTTACATAGGCGGAAAGGTACCTCGAGCTCCCGAGTGCCACACTATAGGAAGAGACTGGTACGTAAAGAGCCATCAGGAGAACGTGGCGCCTCCCAGCAAGGACACGAAAACTGCCGGCGCGGAGCCCTGATTCTCCCGAACCTTGGGATGTGCCCCCTTATACTAACAGTCCTTAATTCTCAGGGCATGTAAGAAGGGTGGTTAGGGTAAGGGGGTTTAGGCCCTGCAGGCCTTAGGGCCCTTTAGGGTTGTAGTTGGGGGAGGGGGGGGGGGGGGGGTGGTGTTAGGGTTGCAGGGCTTATAGCCGTTTTGTTAAGATCTAGGGTTCAATTTAAGTTTAAGTAAGGTTTAAGGTTTGAGGTTAGGCATGTTTTGAGCTAAAGAATGTTGTTCTGGAGAGTTTGGTCTGCGTTTTGCAAGTGAAACCAGCTTCAAGATGCCTTTTTGGTATGTTTCAGCAGAAAAAGAAAAACGTTGTTCTAGACACCTTGGCTTGTCTTTTTTGTTAAGATCTAGGGTTCAAGGTTTAACATTAAGTAAGGTTGAAGGTTTGGGGTTAGACATGTTTTGAGCTCAAAAGTATGGTTCTGGAGAGTTTGTACATGAACACCAGCCAAAAAGCATTTTGGATACCTCAGAATGCTTTTTTTGTATGTTTGAAGCAGAAAAATCATGCCTCTAGGCACCGTGCCTTTTCAGCAATTTGGGAGCATCTTGAACTACGGCATAGTTATGAAGGTTTGTGTTTCGTGCAAGTTCAGTCAGAAGAGAGCGTCCTTAACTACGCCTGCGATTAGAAGATTGCCTTGGAGCATCCTTAACCACCCTGTGGTGGAGGCATTCTGGGGTCTTAGTGAACTTCAACCAGTAATTAGAGAGCATCGCGTAGCTAAGGGTTTTGGGTTTCAAGCACTTGGCGCCAACAGAGAGCATCCTTATTTACGACGCGAATAAGGTAGTTTTGGAACATCCTTGACTACGCTGTAATTTGGGGGGTGTTGGGCTTCAACCAATTTGAGCCATTATTTACGGCGCGAAGAAGGATTTGGAAGTGGGGGACTTCGGCTTAGAAGTGTTTGTGCCCTCGCGTTACCGTGGATCTTGTGGCCCGAAACACTTCTGTTAGGAGGTCCTCCACTTCCAAGTCCTATTTACCGCGCGAATAGGGCTGTCTTCCATTTCACCATTTGAGGAACCTCCTCTTGAATTTTTGGGCGCGATGAAGGCTCCAAATCCTTATTTACCGCGCGAATAAGGCTGTTGGTTGTCGTCCATTTCAGCAATTTGGGGGCCTCTTTAACTAGAGCGTTCGTAAGGCTCCAAATCCGTAATTATCGCGCGAAGAAGGCCGTTTCGGTTGTCGACCTCCTTCACAACGGCGCGACCAAGGCTCCAAACCCTTACTCACCGCACGAAAAGGCTGCCTCGGTTCAGCAATTTGGTGCGCGCGATGAAAGCTCCAAAGCCTTACTTGACGCGCGAATGAGGGTGTTCCGATTGTCGTCCCAGTAATTTGGGAACATCTTTTCAGCCGCTTGAAAACGCCCTTAACTACGGCGCGATGGAGGGGCTGTTGCTTTCAGCTATCTCCACGCAGTGCCAGTTCCGTTCCGGTTGTTGCGGGGTCTTCCGTTCCGAGCGTTCCGTTCCGTTCCGTTCTGTGTAAGTAAACTACAAGGCCACTCGGAAGAAGGCCAAATTGATTTTAGCCAGCCCCGGAAAAGTCATTTTGGCCACTCCCTTGATTGGTTTGTCTGCGAGGCTCCGGCTGAATTCGGGAGGCAGTTTTTCGCCAGAGGCTCCCTCGCACAACTTGGGACCTATAGTACGCCGGCAAAAACATGTATAGAGCGGCACATTAGTATGTATACTATGTAGCGACACTTGGGCACGTTTTCCCTCCGTCACTAACCCCCCTTCTTGACACCACCCTTGTCCCATTCCCCGAAATTAGTACCCCCGGTTATAATTCCTTTGAAGGACTGTGAGTATCATTGTAAGGGGGAACATCCGAACCAGAACCTGAAGACAGCAATCTTGAGGGTGTAGGGCTGCAGGGTTACCGTAGGGTCTTGGCGTTTTAGTGGTTTCAGAGTGGCCCAAAACAGTCTGCCAGAACCTCCAAAACCCTGGAGATTAAGGAACATCCCGTAAAGCCCCTAGGATCCTAATAAGTTCATCTTTCGGAGTGATTCCCTTAAACCCTAAGAAGCCCCAAGGAACGAAACCCGAACCCCTTTATCAAGCCCTCAGCCTTTTGGGGGGCTCAGGTTTTGCGGCAGAGAACCTGGTGCTCAAGCGCTTGAAGGACTTTGGGCTTCAGGGCTGGTTCTCAGATGTAGGGCTTGGATGAGAGTTTGGGGTTGAGGGCTTCGGTTTAGGGGTGTAGGTTTGAGTTTAGAGGATACAGGGTTTGGAGTTTGGTTTAGTTTCCTCGTAGGGCACGGTTTGGGGTTTAGAGGCTTTGGGGAAAACAACTTGTAGGGTTCAGCGTTTGCATGGATATCAGTCCTTGAGCCCTCACTACGCCCCCCCCCCCCCCCCCCCCCCCCCCCTCCCCCCCCCTCCCCCCTCCCCGAGGGGATTCTATAGGGTTTGGGCCCTGAGGGATGCGCGGAAATCGGCCTTGGGGGGTTTTAGGGTTGCAGGGTGAGGGGTATTTAGGCACTCTTTCGTTCAGGGTTTTGGGGCTTTAGCCCTCGTTACTGTCCCCTTACTTAGCCACCCCGGCAAAAGGGGGTGCAGAGTGACCATGTCGGCATATGCATGCTTACACAGTATACACTATACTACTATACAAGATGCTAGGCTCAGATTCTGGCTGATGATTTCGGTTAGGCCATTCAGATTCAGGTGAGGTTCGGGATGCGTGTTCTTTTGCAGAGCTTGACTCGGCTTGTCCTCCAAAAACCAACCTGTCCCCTGAACAGCAGGTCTGCGTAACACAGTTTTCTTGCCGTCCGCATTCAGTTTAGGGTCTGCATACTCGTAGTACATGGGGGTCTAGGGTTCAGGTACTTTCTCTTTAGGTGCATGCTGTGTATGGGCTGCCGAGATTGGCGATTGATGCCCGAGGGCGGGGGTGTAGTGGAAACCGAATTGCACCAGAACCGGCGTGCCCTCCTGGCGGACGAGAAGGCCCCCCTCCCCGCAAGCAGCATATCGGGCTTTGGGCTACAGAATCCTAGGCTAAGGGTTCGGGGTTTTGGGTTTGGGGCTGGGTGTGGGCTTGGGGTTGTATATGTTATAAAGCTGCGAAAAGCCTGGAGGCGGCAGCGATCGCAAGAAAAGGAAACCTTAAGCTCGAACGGCGAGGTTCCTGAGAGCCACCCGCCTCAAACCTCAAGCTTTACAACTCCATTTTCGTCTGTCTCGTCCACCTCTGGGGTCGAGACGCAGAAGAACTGAGGAGCAAGGACACAGAAGCCATGTGATCCTTGCATCTGAGATTTTGTTTGCAGACTTGTCCCTGTTGGTTTCTACCGACAAAGGTTGAAGGGTCCAGGTCCCAAAGGCCGCGCGTACAGTCCAAACCACAGCCAGGGACCCAAGTCCCGTGGTTCTTGAGTTCAGCGGTGGAAGGCTGCTGTTAGGGGTAAGGAGGTAGAAAGGGCTCCCGGGCCAGAAATTGAAGCCCTTCACACCTAAACAACGTGGAGGCCGAGGACGACCAGACGGATACCGGTCAGACCTGCCTGCTTGTGGACATACTGGGCTACCCCTTCTGCTCATTTGTTCCCGCAGGTTCTGAAACTCAAAACATCAGCTTAAATCTTGATGCTAGGATCCGGTGCTTGAGTCAGTCCTGAAGCCAAGGTGAACCATTTTAGGCATGGCTCGAGCCAGTACTCAACTGCCCCCCTAGCCTTGGTGACCTTGTGATCCGGGTACTGAACTTCCTACTGCAAGTTTCATCATGCAAGAGCCTTAAGCCTGTGTTCCAAATGTAGCCGCACCCGAAAGCCGCCAAAACCTTCAAGTCCCGAATCGCAGGAGGGCAGATTCCTACGCTTCCTTCATATTTCCCAGATGAAACACCAGGGATCGAGTTTTTGGGTGTGGGTTTTCTAGGGTTTATAGGTTAGGGTTAGGATTTAGGAGTAGGGGTTTGGAGAGGGTGCCTGACCTTCAAGTGGAGGTTGCTGCAACGTTTCTCGTCGCTGTCTTACTCTGCAATCTAGCTCGCTGGCAGATTGGGGCCATTAGACCTCCTTGGCCAGAGCCTCAGTGCAGGTGTCAGGTGTTTGGGATTTCCCAAGCCCAAATCGTACACAGCTCGAGTTTCAATCGCTGCTCCCAAAGCTGTGCATGTTTTGAGCATCTTAAGGGAGTCGGCTAGTTAGAAGGGAGGTGTCGGCCCCATCCTTTCTGGCCTTTACAGCCCTGGACCCGTCGAAGGTGCTGGTCCGACCTTGCAGCGCTTGCCTGAGCTTTGTAGCCTTTACGGCCACGCTGGCTGAAACCACTTGGGTCCGCCACGATGGCCTGGAAGCCACTGAATTTGTAGGACGGTGCCTCTTTCCCACGCACCGGAAGCTCTTTGCATGCTCGTGATGACCCTGCGATCTGTCTCTGCTTGCCTCAACCAAGGGCCACCTTGTCAACATAGAATAAGTTAATGTGTATATATGTATACACATAGTATTGCATATTTAATACGGTGTATATACATAACTTACCCCAAACCCAAAACCCAAACTCAGCTTCCGCTTGCTCCGGATCATGCAGGGCAATTCGGAATTCGTGCAATGTCGGGGACGAGACGTCCGAGCACCTGCCCAAACGGAAGCACCCAATAAGCCCCAAGGCGAAGAGGTTTAGGTGTTTGGGTGTAGGATATTCCAAGATGCGTCTAAGGTTCAAGACAAAACATCTCCCTACTGGGATGCAGCAATCGAGTCTTCAATGGCATCGGCTGCTGAGTGCCCAGCCGAAGTCTATCCAAGGAGCCCCTCACGCACTCTCCCCAGCTTAGGGTTCAGGGGTTTGGGGTTTATTGGGTTTACTGGGTTTACTGGGTTTACTGGGTTTACTGGGTTTACTGGGTTTACTGGGTTTACTGGGTTTATTGGGCTTATTGGGCTTATTGGGTTTACTGGGTTTATTAGGTTTATTGGGTTTACTGGGTTTACTGGGTTTGCTGGGTTTATTGGGTTTATTGGGTCTCTGAGGGTTCACGGGTCTTAGGGTTCGAGGCTCGAGATTTGCCGACGAAACAAGCCCGGCCTGTGCGAGGACGGATCTTCCTTAAGGAGCCAGGGCGGGCGAAAGAGGCTGTGTATATACGTATGTGTACATATATATATATATATGTATACATAAACGTTCTACATATAGCACTATGTACTATATATATATACATACATGTGTACAAAAATGTGTATATATATATACATATATAGAGCATTCAAATTCCTATAATTTGTGGAATATTCAGAGTTAAACATGGTCAGTTCTGTAAAGTCTCAAGTAGACTAGGGTCTTGTCGGGCTCTCTGATATAATGCCCGCCCCCCCCCCCCCCCCCCCCCCCTCACGTTGCAACTCTGATTTCGTCTTGCGGACGAAGCCCGCCCTGTTCGTTTTTGTTATTTATGTGCCCGACTGCGAGAGGAAGCGGTCTACTGCTTTCCTTTGCCGCGCTGTGGGCTTGCAATCGAATTTCTTGCATGGCGCTTCTCAACGCAAAAATGCGCAAACTTGCTTCCAAGCGGCAGTGGTTGGAGGAGTGCAGAGTCTGATGGTTTATGGCGGTAGGGTTGAGGCATGGCCGGTTGAGTACATCCTGGAAATCCTACACACCCTGCTCAGGGCACCTGCCTCTTTGACCTTCCTGGCTTCAAGGTTTCACCCTAAACCTTAAACCCGGGATTGTAGCTTCAATCATCTGCGTCTCTGCCGTGTGAGGGGGGGGTAGTAACGCTCTCAGGGGGGAATGGGGATGTCCACTCCTAACGGCCCCATTTGAAAGAAAAAGAAAGCTGGTACCCATTCTGGAGGTTCCAGATGAGGATGTTACTACCTTGGGGTAGAATACAAAGGGCGTGAAGTACCCAATTCATCCCCTAAACCCCTATATAAGCCCCTTAAAGGGCTGTGCATGGGGATTAAAGTGCCAAGATTCCCAAGCTGCTTGTGAAGGACCGGGTAGTAAACCTCTTACGTCTTCTTTGGGCTTCTATGCCATCAGCTCTGGATGGGGAGTTCAAACCATAACCCCTAGTGGCACCCTGTCGTTACGTGTCGGGTTCCCTTACAACGAGCTCCATCGAGCAAGAAGACTTTCATTCCTATGGGTTGCCAGGGGGATCCTAGATACCCCAAACCCGAAAAACCCTGCAGAAAGGGATAAGCCCCCTCTAAACCCTAAGTCGTCCTGAGTGCCGGGTGCTAAACCCTAAGCCCTTTTTTGCTCTAAACGCCAAACTGGGCTGCCCTTGCCGCGGCTCACAGTGTACCCGCTCCTTTGAAGCACCGGAGCAGTCCCCTGGCGTCTCGGGGCTTCAGCCCGACATCATGAAGCCACATCTCCTTCCAAGCAATCCGGGCTGAGGGCTTATTGTTTGGTTATAGTACATTTAGACATGGCCTTAACAGGTTCAAGGGGCTGTGGGGGCTTTTCAGGCTCAGGGCCCTTCTTCCAGCCCCTCGGACGTCTCATGGGTTCCCCTAAAAACCGGGCTTCAGAAGAATCCCATGTTTAGGGCCCTTAGGGCTTAGTGTTTTTGAGGGGCCAAACCATAAAAAAGGAGCCCCTTTTAAAAGGGACCCGCGCTTCATTAGAGAAGACGGGGCACCCGACTCCTGCTTCCGGCGCTGGGCGGCAGTGGCCCTTAGGCGTGGGCCTAGAACCCTAAACCCTAAACCCACAACCCTAAACCCTAAACCCACAACCCTAAACCCACAACCCTAAACCCTAAACCCTAAACCCTAAACCCTAAACCCTAAACCCCAAGCTTAGGGTTTAGGGTTGAGATTCTGGGGGTGGAGTCGACTTAGGGCCCCTTGTTGCACTTTTCGGATCCTAGTATTTATTCGGAGCGACCACGTCTGGCTAGATGCCAAGCTACCCAGAAGCCTGCAGTCAACGATGGCCCACAGTGAAAATGGTAGACCCTGAGCCCGATAATCCCGACAAATCCTACAGCCCTAAATAACCCCATGAGCCCGAAATCCCAAAACCCTCAAAGTTGTAAATGTGCACAACCGAGGGGTGTAATTTGTGCTTCAGGAGGTCGGAGCCGTGTGCAACGTGGTCTCTCAGAGTTTCCGGTATAGGTAGCCTAGGGTTTAGGATTTAGGGTTTAGGGGCCTGTATTCGAGCCGGTGTAAATTATGGATTTGGCCCCGCCCCCTAAACCCTGAAGCCCTCAGACCCTCTATATAAACCTCTATATAAAAGCTCCTAAACCCCATAAAGCCCCTAAACCCAAACCCCAAGCCTCTTTACCCTAAACCCGAAATCCTAAACTGCCCTAAGCCCTAAACCCTAAACCCTAAACCCTAAAACCTAAACTGCCCTTAGCCCCCACCCCCCCCTGAGCTGACTGGCCAGGGCGACATGGCAAACCAGACAAAGGAGGAGGAGGATGAAGAGACGGCGATGGCTCCGCGGCAGAGACGTAGGGTTTCGGGTTTAGGGTTTAGGGTTTATGAATGCCGGGAAGTGGTTGTTTAACGGTTCAGTGTGTGGGTGTAAATTAGGGTTTGCTTTTTGTTGCATCCGGGTTGAGTTTTGACGTGTTCTTGCGGGAAGGAATCTTCGGGGCCCTCATGCTGAGGTGAGAGTTCAGATTGTCAGGCTGTGGGGTTCGAAATAAAGGAACAATGTATCAAGATAGTAATACTCTGAGACAGTGATATGATAGCGTAGTAAGGGTTTCGGGGTTCACAGTGTCAAGGTCGCCAAAAGCAGAAAGCCCTGAACCCTAAGCCCAGCATGTTCCTCAAGCCTCTGGCGACCCCCCAACCGTGTCGCCCCAGAAACTGCTCCGGACACCTGAAAGCATTCAAGTCGCCTGTCAGGGCGAGGTCTTCCCCTAAGCCCTGAACCCTAGACCCCAAGAAGCCCTCATGCACTCTACTCTTTGGAGCCCACTGAACCCTGGCGAACCAAACCCTCCCAAGCCTGGTTCAGCAGAGAGATTCAGGTCATCAAGTACGCCAGCTGGGCGGGAGCCGTCTTGGTCGGGCACTTGGGCCAGGGTGCTTTGGTCATCGCTCACTGGATGGCGTGTTAGCTGTGATTGCTGGGTCAGAATTGCAGGCAAAGTTTTGGACAACGCCCACCCTTCCCCCCTCCGCCCGCCACATGTTCAACTGATGACCTCAAGCTCTGGTCTGGAGGTTTTCGCCGCCGCTGTCGTGGCAATCTTCGCACTCTCCCTTCCATGGTGGTGCCGCGCTTACCTGGTCCGAAGCTTGCGAGTTAGCACCATAAACTCTAAAACCTAAGTCCGAGTCATAGCCCTAAACTCAAAAAGCCCTAAACCCCTAAATGTACTAATAACAGTCCTTAGTAGGGATGATCCCTAATTATTAAGGACTGTTAGTATACCCGGGAACATGGCAACTCTAAACCCATAGTGTTCTTCTGAGGGTCCGGGCGCAACTCACTCTCTCGCAGGCTGAGACGCAAGTCGCAAAGCTGCTCCCGAGGCAACAAAACCTGCCATACCCTGAACCCTCAATGGTTTAGGGTTTTGGAATGTTTAGGGTTTAGGGTTTAGGGTGTAGGGTTATATGCCTGAACCTGACACCCCAGACACCCTGAACCTCAAAGCATTCAGCACGCGCGACAGTGTTGGTCATAGGGCAGGCGCTGGCAACTCGCCAGTGAGGTCCTGAGTTTCTGAGACCCACTCTACCTCGGAACTCCCAAAGCCCCGAAAGCAACTTAGGGCTAAGGGACATCCCGGAAAATCATAGTACGATCCTTCGCGTAATTTGCGATGTATTCTCCAAAAACCTAAACCCTCAAAGTCCTACACCCTAACTACTAACCCTACCTCCTAAACCCTATCCCTAAACCCTAAATCCTAAACCCTTAAAACCCTAAATCTGAAATGCTTAAAACTCTAGAGCGGCTTAAGGAGCGGCACTCAGTCCAGCAAGCTCCTCATCGAGGCCCCCGCACTTCTGGAGCTAAGAGGGGGGGTTTGGGGTTTATAGGGTTTAGGGTTTGGGGTTTAGGAGTTTGAGGTTTGGGGTTTGGGTTTTCTAAGGACCTGCCTCCCACCGGGTTATGGAGTGCATAAAGGTCTTTTGGGGTAGCTAGACCCACAACTGCAGTGGTACCCATGAATGTAGGCTTCAGGGTTTACGGTCGATGGGACTAAGAAGCTCGGAAGAGGGGGGTAAACCCTTAAGATTTAGGTGGAACCTTTACTCCGGGTAAACCCTACACCCCAGCCCCCGAACATGAAAGATTCCAGGAACGGATAGCACGAAGAAATCAGTGCATACCAACTAGTATACGGAAACAGGTATAAAATGGCAAATATGGTAAACATGAGTTTACATAAGCCCCACTGGTGTCTAGGGAAGCCAGGATTCCCGCCTCGATGGCACGGAGACCACGATGGCCGCCAGCATCTCGTTGCCGCTTGGGTCATAAGAGTGATGGGGTTCACGGTGTGAGGTTAGAGCCCTAAACCCCAAACCCTAAACCCTAAACCCTAAACCCCAAGCCCTGAGCCCTAAACCCCAAACCCTAAACCCTAAACCCTAAACGCCAAGCCCTGAGCCCTAAACCCCAAACCCTACTCCCGAAGCCCCCTGCGGCCTGCAGGTGGACATTCGACCTCCAGGTGCAGCTGGCCCCCCGGGAGGGCGAGCGCGACGGAGAGGCCGGGATCCCCTCCTCGCTTTCTTCGAGGTTTAGGGTTTAGGGTTTGGGGTTTAGGGTTTAGGGTTTAGGCTTCTCGGGGTCAGAGGGTCGTTTGGTGATAGTAGAGGGCTTCTAGGGTTTAGGGTATTTAGTCTGTTGGGGCTCTTTTAGGGTTTAGAGTGTGTGGGGCTTTCAGGGTTTATAGTATGGGGCTTGTGAGCTTATGTCGTAAAAGGCTTATGGCGCTTGCATGGTTTATAGGTAATTGTGGGAGTTGTGAAAAGGAAGTTGTTTTACGTTTTATATCTTAGGGTATCAGTAGTATCAGACCCTTGACTATGGTTAGTATAAGGGTTATAAACAATGATCCAAAAAAAAGGGGGTGCACGGGGGGTTGCAAAGCAGGTGCAGAACATCAGAGCTACATGGGACGATACCTGTGCGCAAGCAGCATGGCCCTCGGTGTCGGAGTGCGTCGCAGGCAGCAGCAGAGCAGAAGTTGTGGTGATGGGGTCTTACTACCCATCTGCACAAAAATCGTAGAAAAAACGCTGCAACCCGTAAGCTTTCCTGTTCGTCCTCAATTTTCGAATAACGTTGACTTCGCATAGATAACCCGCTTTCCCCCATGAACTGATTCAATCTCTCGAGGGGGCAGGATTTGTGTTTACCATTTGATGGTGAAGGCCTCTTGTAGCAGCAGCCCGCCGACATACATGATTTGTCCCGCACATGGTGGTTTTTGCTTGAATCGGGCTGCTTATTGACATCCGAGCACAGCACTGAACGAAGTTGGGATCGATAAGAATGAGGCCTGTCATCTGCAGGAACACCTGAGTGTAAGCGTACCGACTGGGCAACAAGAACCCCCAAGCAAGCGCTAGACATCTACAAGAGGTCATTGGGAATGTAAAAAAAACCCTAAACCCTAAACCCTAAGCCCTGAACCCCCCCAGAACTTGACTCTTCTAGCTGAGGCGCGGACCCTACCGCAGGTTCCTTACTGCGCCGAGGTGGCTTTTGCTGGGGGCTTTTGGACCTTAAACCCGAACACCCCCCCTAAAAGCTGCTTGGGGTTTGGGGTTTGCGGTTTAGGGTTCAGGGTGTGGTTTTTTTCGGCTTTTGGTTAAGCCTAACAGGGGCTTTGGGTTTTCTAGGTTTCGGAGCTGTGGGTTTTCCGCTGGGAGGTTGACATAGCTTGGGGGAGAGTTCCAGGGCTCAGGAGTGTCGAGTGTGGGGATTAAAGGTTGCATTTGCGCGCAACTTGGGAGCCGGGACTTGTTGCGCCGATCCTCAGCCCCCTAAACCAGAGTCCCTTTTGTAATATGCTACATTTTCCGCTACACTCGTTTGGCAGGTGACCCTGGCTCGGGCCCTTGTCATCATGGCCGCCATTCTCGACAGCTTCTCTGCGCGCGCCCCACGTGTCTCATAGTGCACCTGTATGGTAGTTCCTTCTGCGGAGAGAGGGGGGGCAAAGTACCTCATCTCCCCAGTAGAATATCAAGTTCGGCAATCGACAAAGGACCTAACAGGACCTAACATGAGGCCGGTAGTTCGCCTCTGGGTTTCGCATGTGCAGCAGAGTCTCATCATGAGGCTGGGGGCCGGGCCAGGAAAAGGGCCTGGCCAGGGAATATAGGGGAATGAGTTATCGAAACTACGAGTAGGTTCTTTACGTCCAGGTTGCCCCGTACAGTAAGCTTTAAACGGAAAACTTTATGCTCGGAAAAAGATATCTTCGACATCCTAACACCCTAACACCCCAGAGGCTGCGTTCGTAGTGCTGGCGCGGCGGTTCTCCCCGCTGCTGCTCCTCGCAGCCGTGGCCAGCGGTGTGCTTGTCAGAGCCCCCAGCGGTCTTAGGAAAGTGGGTTTAGGGTTTAGGGTTCAGCGTGTTCGGGGTTCCTAAGAGAGATTTTGGTACGGCGGCAAGTTTTACAGTATTGGGCTCTGGGATTTTAGGGTTGCTGTGTGCATGTATGGATGTCCCCCTGACCCTTATAACTCTAATCCAAAAAGTCAGGAACTGGGGTTCATTTTCGAAGTTGAGCCCTGGCACTGGTTTCTGGACCCTCGGGCCCCAGAGAAGGCCCACTGCAAGTTTTGGGGGGGAGGGGAGGTGAGCCTCGCCCCAAACCAACGCTGAACACTCCACGCCCCCTAGGCCACGCTGTTCTGCTTCGGAGCTGCCGGTCTGGGTCCGGTCCTCACAGGCTCTAGGAATCTTCAGGGTTTGTGGCCTCCTTGGGCAAGCTCCTGAAAGCCTAAACTACCCTACTAAGACAAGGTCTGCAGGGCTCACAGTTGTGGTTGAGGTTGGGCGACGCGTCGTCCACTGACTCAGGGTGTGGCACCCCAAAAGAGCCCGAAGCCCAACACCTCTCCATCCCGAGTGACCACTCGACCCAGCCTAAGCCCCACGCCGGGTTCAGGGTTCATGAGGGTCAAGGGTCGTCGGGTTTAGGTTGAGGGTCTTAGGTAGTTTTCGGGTTTCAGGTGTGATGACCAGCACCACTGGCCTCGGCGGCATGGGCTACTTCCTCCTGGGTGGCTCCCTGGCGCGAGCCCCAGCTGGAGGGCAAGAAGGGTTGAGGGTGTAAGGCTACCCTGTACCCTGAACCCTAAACCGCCCTAGCGTTGCCCATGCATCAAAGATCACGACCAACCCTACATCCATACCCCCAAGGCCTCGAGAATGCTGAGACTTCTATGAGCCCTGAGCCCCAAACCCTAAACGCTAAACCCTAAACCCTAAAGCCTAAACCCCCTAATCCCCAAATGAAGCCTACCAAAGCTCCCCATCCACAGATGGCATCTGGCCTGGCAGTCGGCGCGATCTTTTATGCCGCGGCGAAGGCGACCTCGAGACTTTTTTTAAGGGTTTTCATGGTCTTGAGTTTTGTTCTTTTTCGTTTTTTTTGTTTAGGGCTTTTGGGTTGTTTCAGGGTTTTAAGGTTTTTCCAGGATTTTGGAGGTTTCTAGGGTTTGGGGGTGGAGTGGAAGTAGGTACTACCACAATGGGAGATATGGGGGTTGTTGCACGGATTGAAGAAATCTCATTTCGCTCGACCTTGAAGCACCAAACGCTTTGTCGCTGCAGGCTACACAGTAGAGCCCTCTTACTGCAAGGATTGCTCAAGGGACTTACATATGCACGATGTTAAAGTACGTAGTTGAGGCAGCTTAGGGCCCTTATTATGCAAACATACCAGTGCCTGTAAGCCAAAAAAGCCTTCAGATATTGCAAAGGTCCAGCTCAGGAGGTCCACTCCGAAGACTGCCAAATGCCATCTCTGATATTCGGGTTCCTTGCAGAAGCGGCAGCCCAAGCAGGCTAGAAGAGATTGGAGCCCAATCCCGTGAGCCATAAGCCTTCACTTCATTATCCTGCACAGGCGATGCCTCCGCCCCCAGGCACTTTCCTCGGCAGTCGGTTGTGGGTCGAAATCTCGTAGGGTGCCGGAAGCATCTCAGGTTTGTTGTTTCAATGTTATCTTTTATCACCGGACAATGGGCTTCTAGTATGAGACCCAAGGATAGTCAAGAACATGTTTTGTTCTGGAGTCCTTCAGCTGGTACCTCAATCAGTGCGCAGGCACGCAGAAGCCCCGGTGAAGCTACAATCCTTGACCATGCAGCGGTATGCCAGTCCCCTTAACGGCACGTGAAAGCCCCGACCAGCTGCGAGCAGACCAATTGCAGGAGCCAAAATAGTTGCCAATATTGTCCGCTGACCCAAACTACCTGCGTCCCATTCAGTCTGGGAATAGCCCATGTCCTTGCCTGGACCCTGAATACCCTTGTGGAGGCACCTATTCTCTTATTCAACATGCTGCTTTAGCCACAAGATTAGGTACCCTAAAGAAGGAACCACAAGTGATGGTCAAGGTGGTTTAGATCCTGCATATAAGTTTTGCGCAGGCTGTTTGAAATTGGGTTTCTGGAGCGCCATAGTATACACTCCTAATTTCCATAAGCCTTGCCCTTCACCCTAGTTGTACTCACGCCCTGATGTCCAGACGCGCTGGAAGAAGTCCGCAAGACGCGGATGTCGAACCTCCAGGCAGGGCCTTTGTCTTCACAGAGCACCATGTTACTAGCGGAATCGCCTGACAGCGCCAAACTAGGGCTAAGGCTTTAGGCTTTGGGCTTTAGGGTTTTTTCTCAGAGTATCGGGTACTGTACAGGAGATCTCCTTCGTAGCTCATCGGCAGATACATCGGTCAACATGCAATGCTCTTGAATAAGGGGGCTTCTGCCACATTTGGCGGTCGAAGGGGGTTTGCGGTATTTAGAAATTTCCCCTAAACCCTAAACCCTAAACCCTACACCGTAAACCCTAAACCCTGTCGATGTTGGGGTGAGCTTCTTTGAGGTTCTCAAGGATGGGGTCTTCGGGGAAGAAAAACCGAAGGGTGATGTGGCTTTGAGGCCTCCTTCTGTAAAGGTGGCAGCTGCGACGTGCTCTTGGTACAACATGAGTCTTCATCTGTTTCAAGTTTCAACACATCTTCTAAGTTTAACCACAAGGGCCTGGCTTGATGATCGACCGGGTTTAGGGTTTAGGGTTTAGGGTTTAGGGCTTCCAGGAGTCCACCAAGAAAGAGAGGGAAATGGCGGCCATCCTGGAGGAGAATGTCCAGAGGACAGGGCCTGGGCAGGGCGAACCCTTAAACCCTGAACCCTAAACCCTAAACCCTTAACCCTAAACCTAAACCTAAACCCTAAACCGGAAAACCCCTTTACGAGCCCAAAATCCGGGAGGAGCGGCTCTGCGGGTTTTGGGGCTTCGACTTTTAGTGACTTGTCTTTGGTGTGCGGGGTAGGGGTGGCGGGGCTTGAGGGTATGGGAAGGCATTGGCCCCAAGGCCAGTGCTCTTGAGCAAGTAGCCCTAAACCCTAAACCCTGAAATTTCCCGCCGGTCCCAAACGTCTACAGACCTTACTCCGAGACTGCTTGCTTGCAGGAGGAGGAGAGAGTCCGAGGAGATGCCCGAAGCCCTGGACGTTGAGACGCGGGTTTCCAGAGGGCTGTAGAGCTTTGGGTTTGGGACTGCTTGAAGCAAACAACTGTTTAGGGTCTAGGGTTTAGGGGTTTAGGGGTTTTAGGTTTTAGGGTTCTTTTTTTTTGGGTAGCTCTTCAACCGGAATCTAATGGGTTTATAAGTCTTGCAGTTAGGGTTTGGGGCTTTGAGGTTGAACCCCCTGCGACTCGCTCCGGGGGATTCCTTTTTCCTTTTTTGTTTTCCCTCCCTGGCCCTCTTAGGGTTTGGGGTTTAGGGTTTTAGGGTTTTGGGGCATAGTATAGGGTTTGGGGTTTGGGGTTTTTAGAGTTTTTGAGTATAGGGTTTGGGGTGTTAAGGGGATCTGAGCAATCTCGCAAGCTGCGCCCAGGGGCATGTCCCCAGCTCAGCGCGGCAGCATCAAGCGGGTTCCTGCCACTCACTCAGCCGCGGCAACCAGCGAAACGCCAAGCTGAAAGGCTTCGGACTGAACATCCTTAGCAGCGTTCGTGCTTCAGATCACACGTTGTGCCTTCTCATCGCCTTCTAAAACGCAGCTCCTGCATTCGGTGAACCTTGGCTGCTTAAGGTCATGCTTCAGAAGGTGATCTTTTGGACGCAGGACGCGGGCCTCCGGTGTTGAGAGTCGGGGGTGTCAGTCTTTTGCTTGGAGGGCTCCGGGACTACAAACTATTTGAAACACAGCAGGAGTATTCCAGTTTAGGGTTTGGGTGTTGGGTTTCATGTTTCGGCGCAGGACCGAAAGCGTTGCTGTGGCCTGCAGCCGCACCTGACCATTAGATCATTTGATGCAACCCCTAATCATCGCCCGTTTCTCGGCAGGCCCTTGGGACGTGTTACATTTCCCTTTTGGGTTTAAGAGGGTCATACTTAGAGGAATGTATACTTACAGGGCCAGTCTTAGTTTCAATGGCGAGACGCCACTGGGCGAAAGCTCAAAAATCCCTAGAGCCCTTGAGCCAAACTGCCAGGAGAACGAGGACAACGAGGACGCGGAGCTGCCGATGGAGCTTCTTCAGGCAGCATGTGCTTAGAACATACCGAGACCGCTTTCTTGAGTTTTTTTTTGGGGGGTACATGTACTGTACAGATATATACTTGGACTACACTGAAACATACATGCATGCATACATATATACATATGTGTGTATGTGTATATATATATACATAGTTATTTGTTTTTTTGAATTGCTTATTTATTTCGCTCATATTGCATGTGAACAACTACAAGGATCAACAGCTTGATTGACATGAAGATCCATATCAATACAAAATGCAAGCACAAGTGCAAGCGACGAAGTCTGAGCCCTTTGCAAACACAAATTAACCCTAAACCCTAAACCCTAAACCCTAAACCCTAAACCCTAAAAACCCCGATCTCACTGCCACGGTTCGCGCATGCCGTGCCAAAGGCGGCCTATCAGGAGATCGACGAGGACGGCTCCGGCTCGGTGACGCTAGGCACCGGCTTAGTTTCGGGCTTGGGGTTTAGGGTTTAGGGCCTAGGGTTTAGGGTTAAGGGTTTAGGGTTAAGGGTTTAGGGTTAAGGGTTTAGGGTTAAGGGTTAAGGGTTTAGGGTTTAGAGTTTAGAGGGCACATCAGCTTGCGGTAGAATACCGAAGAGGTAAAAGTGTGTTCGCCGGCCAATCAGTAGAAGAAGGGAGTGGGTGGAACGGATGACTCACTGCAGCGGGGTGCGATCCCCACAACATGCCCCTTACCTCTATTTGTCCGGGAAACCTCCGCTTATAGAAGGCTGAAATAGGGGCATGAGGTACCCTGCCTGGGAAGCCCTGTCGTCAAGTTGGCTTGAACTCCCTCAAGGTTGGTGTACATTTCCTGTAAATCCCTTACAAAGCCTCCAAGCCCGAAGCACCTAGTTTCCATTCATACTCCGAAACAAAACGACAAAATCAGGAGCAGAACGCACCCTGAGACTATCGTGCAGGGTGACTCAAGGTAAACCGAAGCGGGGGGTAGGCCCCTTGGGATATTTTATACTTCCCCCTTGTTGGGTTTACGAGGATCATCAGAGGGTTTAAGGGCCATCCTAGGAACTCCTGGGTTTAGGGTTTAGGGTTTTAGAGTTTCGGGTTTAGGGTTTTGGGTTTAGGGTAGCAGCCCCCTCCTGCAGTTGAGCTCGTCGACGCACTGAAGCTTTGCGGCCTCAACGCGTCCGAGGTCGGTCTTGCCCTGGGTTAGGCTTAGGGCTTTTGGGGTTTAAGGGGGCAGTCGTTGGGTGTGCAGAAAGAAAGGTCACAGGGACTACATAGAGTTTGAGCTTGAGGGTAAGGCTACAGGGTCGGTTTCAGGGTTTGGGCGTTGTGTTGAGGTGGGCGCTTAGAAGGATCCAAATTCAAGGGTGTATCGGTGTATCAAGTCTAATCTTTGAAAACACCATGCCAAGCAGACGTTCGTTGCTGCATCTGGGCGGCAGGCAGCGGCCACAACCGTCATGCAGGAGATTGACAAGGCGGGAGTTGGTTTAGGGTTTAGAGTGGTCGTGGCCAAGAAAACCTCTTAAAGCCCCTTTGGATCCCTCCACAAAACCCCGAAACCGTCCTAGCCCCTAACCCTTAGCCTTTTTTTGTTTGTGAAATTGCCTTTGCTGGTTGTTGTTGTTGTTGCTTTCATGCCTCGGGCGATCTGGAATTAGAGAGGCCAGAGTTTGTGAAAGCTTCGGGCTTAGTACGGTTCAGGGGTTCTGAACCTCAAGTTCGATTGGGATGCAAGTTGTTCGGATTTGGGCCTTTGGGTGTTTAGAGCTTGGGGTGTTTAGGGTGGGCGAAGGAGAGGAACCTTTAAAAGTACCCTGACAAAACATACCCTTTCGGAAATGTTAGTTTGTGCTTGGTGGGGTCCCGGAATACCCCTCAGCTAGGGGGCTTGGAGTCGGTTTTGAGCCACCCAAAAGTGTAGACAGTGATGTTCAGAAGCTCTGTCATCCTTTTTACGCCCTAATCCCGAAGAGTTTGAGGGTTCAGAGTTTAGGGCCGGACATCCCTGGGCCAGAACATGAACGGAACGATCGACATCCACGAGTTCGTCATGTTCTTCAGGCAGGGATTGCTCCACTTCGGTATCACCTAAAACGCCTGAACCCCTACTTCGAGGCAACCGTGTAACTTAGGAGCGTGGTGCACGCCAAGAGCGCTTTCCTTGACGTGTATATGGGCCACACTAGGCCCTACTAGGCACTCCCTACCCTAAGTTAGTATATAACCCCGAAGACAAATCCAAACGCCAAACATACGACCTTCGCAGCGTGCCGTTCGATACAAGTGCCCTGCGTCGTACCCCGGGCTTCATATTTCTAGTCCAATGCGGCTTGTATGAGGGCTGATGGGAGCTGTTTGGGCTATACCTCACCGGCTTCACTTAAGCCCCTACCTAAACCCTAAACCCTAAGCCCTGTACCCTGCTTAAAGGTCCAAGCAAACAGGTTTTTGTTTATTTCTTCTTGCAACTTGAATATGTGCGAACGGGGGCCCTTCCGCCGGCTGCAACCCTGGATCGAGCCGTACGAGCGCTTCAAAGGAATCCTGATGGCCCGTCACGCGGGGAGAAGAAAGCTGACAGATCATGGCAGAAGATGAACCCAGCCTTAAATCTCAATCATAATTAATCTAAATCCAAACCTGCACGTTTCGTGGTGACGGCCAACTCCTAGGCCTTCTAAAGATATAATCTTGTTTCACCCGTCGCCCTCCTTGCCCTCCATGGACTTTCACGCAAACCTAAACCCCTCAACCCGCTAAACCCGAAACCCTACCAAGTCCCAAGCCTATCCCTAAACCCTAAACCTAGCTCCCGAGGCCCCTGAACCTGTGTAGATGAGGACACTCGAGGAGATGACGCGCTTTCAGCGGAAGACGCAGCAGCGAGCGCAGGCTGGCTTGGGTCCGTGCGAGTTATTTGGGAGGTAGGGTTTAGGGTTTGGGGTTTAGGGTTTAGGGTTCAGGGTTCAGGGTTTATACACGGTTTAGGGTTAGGGTTTTTAGTATTAGGGTTTAGGGTTTAGGGTTTACGGTTTAGTGTATAGGATCCTGAGCCTTTTCAGGCACCCCAGGCGTGAAGCAAATCGGCTTCCGGAGAGCTGGTTCAGCTGCTTGTTTTTCTTGTATCCTCATATGAAACGACGTATCGCCATGCAGCTTGCTGCAGGTTGTCGAAGTGTCAGATGAGTTCGCTCAGATTCAAACGATCTCTGCAACTTCTGGCAGGTCGAATGCGGTTTTGACTCCGGAACCTGTAGCGCCTCTCCAAACCCTAAACCCTGAACGCATGCCTTTGCCCGTCACCCAGTTCCTGTCCTACGTGCTCAACTTCTGCTTTCTGGTCCACATCATTCTTGTTGGCCGACGCCTTGGTGGCTTTAAATCCGAAACAAGATTCGAGTGCTTCCCCAGTAGTGGGTGTAGGGTTTGAGGTTTATATAGGGTTTAGGGTTTATGTAGGGTTTAAGGCTACAAAAAGATAGCTGAGCGGTCACTTACGAAGCCACGGCGTTGAAGGGGATCATACAGCTGTATCGAGTTCTCCCTAATGTGCGCCGCTGGAGCTGCAGTTTGGTGGGTTTGCGATTCAGGGCTTAGGGCTTAGCGATGCAGAGTTTTACGGAGGAACTTGAACAAAAATGGCGAAACAAAGACCAATGATAGACCAATCCCTAGGATCGACCCTAAGCAGGCATTCAATTCTCTGGACTCGGTTATTCTAGCTTGGCCTCCCTTTCCAGGGACTTCGCAGAAGGGTTTCCAATAGCCACCACATGCCAACACAAACCCTCCACCCTGAACCCTAAACCCAGTCGTGAAACACTACGTGTACTAAACTCTATGCAGAACTGTAGACGCAGGAACCCAAGCCTCGTGTATGCTCTTCCGGCCTAAATCAGTCCGCGGACGCAGATCTGCACCAGCGTGGGCTCGTGGGGGTGTAGATTTGGGGCTTAAGGGCTTGGGGTACTAGTGGTTGGTGCCTAGGACTGAGGGTGTGCTGTTTAACAGCCAAATAGCCCACTGTAGCATCCATGAACACAGACGGAGCATCTGCAAAGCCCAGGAACCTAAACCCTTAAGCTCCGACTGCCAAGGTGTGCTGCTTATGATCTTCATCCGCATGGACGAGGACCCACGGGCGGCAGAGGATTCTGAAGCTTAGAAGTGGGAGTTGTCCAGACCTCTTTAGGCTCGTACGGTTCGGAGACATCTTTGAGATTTGTACGCCAAGGCGGTCATTTCAAGGCCCCTCTGCAATGAAGATAATGTCTGTGGGCCCTACGGCCAAGCAATCTTGCTGATCGGCCATGCACCCGAAGTAAGCCTTCTGGATGCAGGTGGTCAGCATTGACCGGGCTGACTACCTAGAATCCCACCTGTAGATTAATATTGTCGTTCTGTTGTCGGGCAGCAACTACGTTCTCTGAGCAAGATGAAGCCAGAAGCCATCAGAAGCCATAATTTCCCGCGAGAGGAGCTACAAGTAGCTAGGAAGTTTACCTCGGATCACCTTTGAGCGTACAGTAAGCACCCTAAACACAAAAGCCCGACGACACCCTTACAAGGTCGAGGTCCTTCAGGCTTTCGGGCTAAGATGTTCGGCCCTCTCGGGTCAGAGACTTGGGGCTTTAAGGGGCTAGCCTGGTGAGAATGGGTGTCTTGGGCAGTTCTGGATAAACTTGTATAAATATGATGAGAGTGGTTTGAGAAGAGTTGTTCAGTACGAGGCTGTACTGCCAAATGTGTGTTTTGCCCTGGAACAGTATCAGCGTCGTGGGAGTGTAGGATTTAAGATCGTGCTAGGGATTCAGGCATTGTTCACATGCCGAATGTTGTCTCGGCACTGTGTCGCCAGATACAAGCCAGCTGCTCATGAGTTCCAAGCTTGTCGTATGGTTTTTAAGGGGCTGGGGTGGGGTTGGGGGGGGGGGGGGTCGTCAACCCAAACTTGGATGCCCTTCAACCGCAACATATACGCAAGTGTAGCAGGAGACCGGTGGGGACACCTATCCGATCCTGAGGAACTGCCTAATGGCATTCTCCATAGGCGGGCTCGAAATGCTCAATCCCAAAAGCCTAAATGCCGAGTTCCGAATCTGGCCCTTGCACGGACGTTGTGATCCCCTAGCCAGAATCCGGGAGCTAAGGGCTTAAACAGGCAGGGTTCATGGTGTAGGCTTTAGGGTTGAGGGACCGGCTCGCAGCCCAAGCCTCTCCCGCAGTTACTTCTCCTGCCCCACTGTCGGGATCATGGAGTGTTATAAACATTACCAGACTCTGTGTACTTCGACCACGGGTGTCAGGATTTCGGGTTTGCTTGCAGAAGTTGCTGTTCAACAGCCGCCCATCTTTGGCGGAATGCTTTCGGTCTCTGAACCTACTGTATTTCAAGTAGTTCTGCGTTAGCTGCTTGAGCAGCAATCTGGCAACAACTTCCCACCCCTGCGCTTTCGGAGGTTTGTTCCTAGTCGGTGGCCTTGGTTGTGCACAAGCTTGCTTGTCGTCACTTTCCACAGATTTTCAAGGGGGATGTTCCCCCTGACACTAACCTAATTGGAATGATAGTACCCCCTACTATAGTCCCGACTCAGGACTGTTAGTATAAGGGGGCAACATCCCAAAATTCAAACGAGGTTCTGTGCGACGCTTTTGTTTGCCAGGCCTCGACATCCTAGCTCTCACCCAAGCACATCCGCATGCCCCAGAACCCTGTACAAAATAGGCTAATATGGGGGCCTGAATGATGGGAATAGGGTTTCGGGCGTTTTTATAGTTTCATTACGCAGGGACCATAAGGCAGCATTACTAGCAATGATTCCGACCCCTGTATAATTCAAGCCCTATAAACCCCAAACCCTAAACACCCTAAAACCTAAACCCCTAAGCCCCACACCACCCTAAACCCTAAACCCTAAACCTTGAACCGACCAGTTCTGGTGGTGCTCTTCCTGCTGGTCATTGGCATCCCTGCCGCGCGCATGACGCTAGGCGGGCTTCCAAGTCCCCCCCCCCCCCAACATTCATACCTTTCATAAACGTTTGGGGTTTGAGGTTAGGGTTTAGGGTTTAGGGTTTAGGGTTTAGGGTTTAGGGTTTAGGGTAGTTTGGGGTTGAGGGTTTAGGGTTTGGGGCTCAGGGTTGAGGGGACTGAAGTCAAACCCCGAAAGGCGTTTTCGGTCCATGCAGACATGGATTGAGTGATTGGCTTGTTTCGTCAGGACTTGGAGTTCGGAACTCGAGGCTTGGAGTTAAGCAAGAGGTAGGATGCAGGGTGTTTAGTTGTGGTCTTACAACTAACCCGTAACACTTAACCCCAAAAAACCCTAAACCCCAATTCCCGCTCGGTGCCCAAGCCCGACACCTCGAAGTTTCCGCCGCGCCCTCCCTAAAGCCGGAAGTTTCTGCACTCCAGGCGTGCAGGTGACGGCCTGGCATCATCACTACGCGACTGCCATGAGGCCCTTCGCGCCCTACGACAGGTCAAATTTCCAGGGTTCAGGGTTGAGGTTTAACCCTACTGCCCTAAACCCTAAACCCACACCTCAGACCCCAAAAAAGCCGAGCCTTTAAAACAAAAGGACTTTTAAAACCACCCTGGCCATAATTAGCCGGGATGTGAGTCTTTGCATCTCCGGAGAGGCTTTTCAGCCCAGCCCACTCCACTCCAGTATGAGATCTGCATGCACAGGAGTTGACTACTCCAGCTCGCCCCTCCGTGTGTGAGTGTTGGTGTTCATCCTGGAACATGGAAGGTGTTGAGTTCAGTGGCGGAAGGTGTTTGCGTTCAGAGTTTGTGGCTTTTCGGGTTTTCCGCGATGTTCCCTACCCAAAAATGCTGCACCTAAAGCCCAAAACCCTAAGCACGTGATCTCTGAGCCAGGCCGGATGGCAAGCTCAAAAGGCAGGCGGCGCAGCGAAACGCGGACAGCACCGCAGGACCGACATGACCTTTCACAAAACACCTAAACCCAGGTTTCGCCTTTAGGCTACACCTGCCAATTGAGCCCAATACCCCTTCTCAAGTAAGGAATAGACCTTAAACCAGAAAAAAGGATGCGATTATTGCTGAAAAAGCCATTCTCCTTCACTAAGGGATATCGCGTGCTCTGAACCCTGAAATCCCAAACCCTAAACCGCGATCCCTGATCTGTCTACACCCTTAACCCTAAACCATAAACCCTAACCCTAATCCCTCATATATCCAACCCTCAACAAACCCCTGAGTCGCGCCAGCCCACGGTACTTCTGGGAAGGACCTCGGGGCGCTGCGTGGTCTGAAGGGGCAGGCGGGCTCCTGGGATTTGCGGCTTAGGGCTTATAGGGGGTTTAGCGTTTAGGGTTCCGAAGAGTGGGTTGAATTATGGTTGTGTGTGTGGGTTTGGGGTTTATGTTTTTTAGGGGGTTTAAGTGTTGTGGGGTGAGGATGATTTTTGGCTTATAGGAGGTTTAGGGTGTGATTTGGGATGGCTTCTTGGTTTAGGCTTTACGGGGCTTCAAGGGCCTTAGGATGATGTAGGGTCTAAACCTTGGAGGGCTTAATTAAGGGGCTTAAGGAGCCTAGGGATGTAGCATGGTGCTGAGGGGGTTTAGGGACTCAGTGTTGCGTGTTATTTGGGGGGTGTTTACAAGGTTGCCTCTTCAGCCGTAGTACCCTTGTTCCCCGTCGCAATCTCCAAGATGGGCTACTTGGGAGTAGCTCGGACCCCCCCCCCCCTGCCCTTCCCAGAACCTCGAGTACCTGGGCCCTAAACCCTAAGCCCTAAACCCTAAGCCCTAAACCCTAAACCCTAAGCCCTAAGCCCTAAGCCCTAAACCCTTCGCAGGCAGGGCGCCTCCATCAGTCAACGCCGCCAAGTATGGAGCCAGCTACCGGGTGCGCCTCCTTGCGATTGCTTGTTGGACAGGGGAGCCCCTTTCGAACCATCATGTGGGGTTTAGGGTTTAGGGTTTAGGGTTTAGGGTTTAGGGTTTAGGGTTTAGGGTTTAGGGTTTAGGGTTTAGGGTTTAGGGTTTAGGGTTTAGGGATGCGTAAGGCTGTGTATGCTGAAGCTAAGGGTGGCCCTAGACTCTAGACCCTAAAGCCCTAAACTCCAAAGCCCTGAGCCCTAAAAGCAAAATCAAAAGCTCCCAAAAGCCTAAGTCCTCAAGCCCGAAAACCGTAAAACCCTGAAACCCATAAACCCTAAACCCCAAAACTAGGCAGTGGGATTTGGGCCACGGGCTTCCTGGGCTCCGGTCCCATGTTCTTTGGCGTTGCGAAGGTGGTACAGTAGGAGGGTTTCCGAAATTAGGGGGTACCCTTCTTGGGGCTTCCCATAATGAGGATACGGGGATATTTGGGTCTAGGGGGGGGGGAGGTGTGAGGGTGTCTGAATTGGGGGGGAACCTTGGGCTCGGGGTCCTCCTTTTTGGGGTCTATATTATTCGGGTCCCTTAGGTCGCACACCCCCAGAAGGGATCCACCAGGCTGGTGGCCCCACTAAGCGTTGCTTCTTTGCAGATGGTCTGCATCCTTTGCGAACCCTATGCTGGTTTAGGATGTAGGTTTTAGGGCATAGCCGACCCCGCTCTCCCCCAAGGTGTCGCGAATGAACTACGACGGTTCTGCGGAGGCACGTGGAGTCAGGTAGCACACATGTCCCCAAGCCCGATAACCAAAAACCTTGCTTCATTCATTCAGCCTTGGGTGATGCAGAACTCACATACTTGTATGACCCTAAGCATACCAGGTTTCGAACCCGCTTTCTAGACACGCCCCAGCCTAGAAGCCCAAAGCCCCGAACGTTGTGGTCTTGTGTTTAGGGTTCTGGGTCTGGCTCCCCAGGCGATGCTGCAGCAGCAACAACAGCAGCAGATGCAGATGCAGATGCAGCAGCAGCGCGCCAACTCCAACGCAGGGCTGCTCACCAATCGCTCGGAAACTCCGACGCAAGGGCCCGAGCTGTGGAGGGGCTTTGGGAACTTAAGGGTTTGGGGTCGCGCGACCATTTGTAAGGGTCTGATAAAAACCCAAAGCTAAACCCTTGAACCCTTAAACTCTCAACCCTGAATCCTGAAACCCCAAGCTCTAAGGGCTTAGGCAGGGCTTCCGGTGTCGCCAAGGCCCGCGATCTAGCAGCAAGTTAGACACGGCAAGTTCCTTGATTTTGCCCCAAAGGCCCGCAACCCACCCAAATGAAACCGAATCCCTAAACCCCTTCACCTCAGATTGTCCGACCCTCAGGGGCAGTGCTATTCCAAGCGCTATCCCGACGCAACGCCCCCAAGGCCGTGCGCATTTTGAGCAGTTCTCCCAATCATAGGGTTTACGGTTATAGGGTTTAGGGGGGCCCGTTTTGACGGCCCTCTAAAGCCCTAAAGTCTAAGGGAGTAGTGCAGGGTTTATGGCCTGGGGTCTTGGTCTGGGCGGGAATGCAGGCTTCCGCATGGCAACAGGGACCATAAGCTACAGAGCTGAGCAGTTGGATTCGGTGGGTTCAGTGTTGCTTGTTGTTTCTCCTCGGTTTGTTCTGGGACTTCCCTAAACCCCGAGCTACCCTAAACCCGAAAACCAGGGTTGTTTTCAGTGGCTCAGCTTCAGGTGTTGTAGGAGACTCTTGCCAACAACGAACTTTTCTGTAAACTAGGCAGGCCCCTGGGACATCTTTTTATTTTCCCTTTATTGGGTTTTAAGAGGATCATATTCAGGAAGATTATTCAGAGGGTTTAAGGGCCATCCTTGTACAGGGCACTCGTGGCTTCAGGGGGGTCTATGATTTGCAGATTGAGGGCTTCAGGGCTTGGGGCTTGTAGGACGTGTGGGTCGAAGATTCTGGGTAGGTGGCTTTTTCACTTTCTGTATTGCCTTGAGGGTTTGGTCTGCCCTGAACTTGGGAGTATGAAGAGGATTCAAGGCACGGTGGAGCAGTTTGAGCCCTAAGCCCGTTTAGACCAATGTATCAAGTCCGCCAAGTGGACAAACATGGCAGAATCAACGAGTTCTAGGCTTTATCACGTCTACCACATTCAGCCTCAATCACATCACCACATCAGAATCATGTTCTATTCGTTAGTCAGGTGCGGGGGTTCTGTCTGGCTTGAGGCTTGATCCGCGTTGGGGACAGCAAAGGTTCTAAACGAGCTCCGAAGGATGTTGCGGCACATTCAGAAGTGTTTCCAATCTGTTGGGGGTTTAGGGCTTCAGTAGGGTTTGAAAGTGTTGTTAATTTATTTCGGGCTTAGGGCTTGTTATATGGTTAGTGTCGGTTCGGGCTTCAAACGAAGGAGCGATCATGAGCAAGACGGGCGAGTTCTTGCGGTATGACCCTGCGGCATACAGGCATGCCGGGCTTGCGGCACCCGAAGCCTAAACCCCAAACTATCCTTTAAAAATGCTATTTGCTTAAGAACCCCCCCCACCAAAAAAACAACATACAAAATAATAGTCCACATACTGCCCCGACAAGGAAGAACATTTTGTGTGTTTGGGGGGGGGGTTCTTTGGCAAGTTGTAGGTAAAAACCCTAAGCCCGAAACTCGAGAAGCTCTTGTCCTGACATTCCAAGCCTGAAGCGGGATGTATTTGGTCATCGCCTGCCAGTTCATGCTGTTCCTTCTTGGCAGATCCCACGCCTGATTTGTTGAAAATGCAAAGCCGATGCCCAGATCAACCCCTGCGACCGTAGCTGGTGGTTTAGGCATAAGTTCGGGGTTTAGGGGTTATAAGAGTCTAGGGCTTCAGAAGTCTGCGCCTCTTACCCTGCAAGGAATGCGGCCATGAACTCCATGGGCGCGCGCATGCCCATGAGTTTTACGCCGATGCAGGCTGGTCGCTGGGAGGGATGCTTCTCGACTTGGGGCAAAACCCTAAACCCTAAACCTCAGGGCTGTATGGCTCAAGGGTTTGTCAAGGCGCGAGGATGGGAGAAGCCAGACACACCTGTCTTTGCTAGAGGTCAGTGTGCGCCCTTTATAACACGAGGTTCCCTCATAAACCCTGTGAAGCCAAAACGGTGCCCTTTTTTGCAGGGGTTTCAAAGCCTAAACCCTAAAACCTATTATGCATTATGGTTGCAGGTTCAGAACATGCAGACGTCCGCCGACGACCCTGGACAGCCAGGTACGATGGCCTGGGCCTTGCACACCTCGTGGCTTCCCCTACTACCCCCCTCCATACTACCCCCCCCCCCCGTTCCCCCAATTGGTTTAAGACTTTTTAGGGGTTTGTTAAGAAAGGGCACCCATGAACACCCGACTGTCAGTCGTGTTTGCCAACAAGAGCGAGCCATCTGCCGGTTGAAGGTCTAGAGGATTTAGGGTTTAGGGTTCAGGGTTTAGGGTTTACGGACACATGAAACTGCAAAGGGGGGTTCAGGTAGGGTTCCACGGTGCCGAGGCCATTACTGACGGAGGGAGCAACTACTGAGCTGTCCCCGTTACCGTCCGTCATCAAGGACCACGGGACCCTGAGGTGTTTAGAGACCACGAAAGTCTAGGACCCTGAGTAGGCCTTTTTTCCCTTGTACTAGTGTTAGGTTCTCTTTTCAGCCCCTTTAAACCAAAAAGGGCACCCGTCTTATTCCTAGGTTACTCCTGTGTCTAGAAGTTATCATCTGTAAGAGACCACAAAACCCGAAACTTAATCAGATATCCCATGTGCCCACAGGGCTGGCATCCAAATAGTTCCTTGCTGAAAGAAACATACATGCCCTAACCCTAAAAACTGGGGGGGGGGGGGGGGTTGGAGGTTCAGTAAGGGGCTGCTTACGGCCGTAGGTTTCCTGAACGATCCTCAGCCTTATAAAGCCCTGAGGTTTGCTTGGGGTTCACTGTGATCCTTGCGACCAAGGCATCTTAAGAACGGAGGAAGGCACAAGGACCTTCAAACTCCCGCCGGTCTGGCTGTCAGTGTTTATGGATGAGGGTTCGAAACCCGCCTAAATAAACCCTACAAACCCTGAACCCATTTGTATTATTCAAGTGCAGGGTGAAACCCCAGTGGTGCGCTTGCTTCCTTGTTTGTGAGTATTCAGTTTGCCCCGTCAACACCAACAAATGGTTTCATTGCGCAAGTTCAGGTTGCGAGCTGATTTACGGTGAAGCCTGGCAACCCCAAACTCGAGTAAAAAGTTCCCCGGACGCCTTATCTGCGTCGAGTCCCACAGCGGTTCTTTGCGGTGCCAGCTTCTGAAGTTGGGAATCAGACGATGGGAGAGAATTCGCTGTGCATCGGTGGTCGAGAAGTCAACTGCCGAACGATCACTTCGTGACGTTCGATGAACGCTCACCTGGTAGATAGATGACCTTAATCCCTACACCCTAAACGGCCCTAAACCCGAAACCTCCCTCGTCAACCCACACCTAAGCATGCTGAAGCCCAAAAGTGTCAAGCCCTCAGTCGCCGCATCCTTGTGAGGGTTCAGGGAGGGCCCCCCCATTCCCTCCCGTTTAATGGTCAGGTTCGGTTATGGACACCCATGAAGCTAGTCAAGCAAAGATGGGCTCCCATCCGTTCCTGTGAATGCCTACTAGAATATGTTAGTTTCAATTTGATATGATGTATTGTATGGTGCAATTTCATACATTATGTATTTTACACTCTATAATTTGTATTATACTATATTATATTATCAATTGGGAAGATCCTATCAGATGAGCACCTGCACAGTCAAGAACAGTTCTCACTTCGACGCCGCGGCTCCTCCAAGAGGAGCCTCTGCGAAGAAAGCTCCATCTCGGGTTCAGTTCTAGGGTTTTAGGGTTTAAGGGTTTAAGGGTTTAGGGTGAAAGCTATAAGAGCAACCCTGTACCGCAAAGTGGGTTTAGAGGGTTTAGCTTTAGGGTTCTTGGGGCTTCGGGTGTGGACCGTAGATTCCTGGCCATGCAGAGCATGCCAGATGAGGTAGACGCGTGCCCGCTCATGAGAGACAAAAACAGGAGTCCAGAAGAGTATCTTAGGGCAGCTCCGTGGTCCCTCTGTATGGCCCCTTAAAGGGTTGTGAAGTATGGGCCCGAACGGGTATATAAGGGGTCCCCATACTAAGGGGCCATGTAACTACTCTTAGATGAAGGAGTTGGATTCTGCATGTAGTGCCAACCTGGGACTGCCTTTATTCTACCAGGGGCTATCCCTAAAACCCTAAATCCTAAATCCTAAACCCTGAACCCTAAACCCTAAACCCTAAACCCTAAACCCTAAACCCTATCCTTCACTGGTCCGTTTGCTTGTCTGGTGAGGTTTCGGATGTCGGGGCCTCCCAAGATGGTGGTACCCTTTTCTGTGAACCCTAAACCCTAAACCCTAAACCCCAAATCCTAAACCCTAGCCTTTTTGGGGGGCCACCTTGGTAGTCTCAGTTTTGAGAAGCCCCTAAACCCTGAGCCCTTTAGGGTTCAAATGTCTCCGGATGACTCTGCCTTCTCCAACTGCTCACCTTCCCAAATCCCGAATAGAAGCATTGCCAATAGCCCAACTGGGTAGGCTTTTGTGATATTGCGTAATTTCCCTTATTGAGTTTAAGAGCATCGTGTTTAAGACTTTTTTTTCAAACTGGAGCTCTCGACTTCAGGATTTATGGTCTTCAGGAGAACCCCTGTACCACGTACCATCCGTACTCCATTGGGAGTTTGCCACAGAAGAGGTCCCCCTTTGCATCCCCCAATTTAGCAGAATCTTCTTAAACCCGGGTCTCAATGTTACAACGGTTGCTTGTCCCATTGCGCAGGTTTAGACTTTTGGCTACGCGAACCTAGAAAAGCCCTAGCCCCCCGAGGCTACGCCCGAAACCTTTGGATTGATCCCCGAAGCCCTGATCCCTGAAATCCTTAAAGCCCCCAAGCCCTCAAACGAACTCCCTGCAACCCCTACTCCCTAAGCCCTCAACCCTGAACCCTAAACCCTAAACCCTAAACCCTACACCCTAAACCCGCCCTTATCAAGCCCTTATCATGCACCCCCCCAGCAACAAAAATCCGCCGGCAGCCGCGGCAAGGCTTGGGCCCCCACAGTGCCTGCTCTCGAATTGTGGTCCCCCCCTTTTTCGGAGTTTAGCAGCTTAGTTGCCTGTTAGGTTTGATACCAGGGCTTTGGGGAAAGAAGGGGACCCTATTTTAGAACAGCCCCCACGGAGTCTGCTGTGGTGGCTTGAGATGTCGAGCCGGGGGACCCATGGGAGGGGAGGATTCGGAGGCAGGTTCGGGAGCTGCTCTTAGAGTCCCAGAAGAAGAGTGGGCGAATACTGAGTACGTAGGCCATGATGTGTGTTTTTTCGGTCTGGGTTGGATGACTCTGCCGGGCTTGCCACTTACAACTTACGCTCCGTAAGACCGTCCCGATGAACTTCCCAAAACGCCCTGAGTCCAATCGATTCTCGCCGGCGCGCCCTCAGTGCCAGAACCCGAGCATCCGGATCCCAAACGTCTGAAACTCGCAAGCTAGCCCTGTTGAACCGTTCTAAGCCCGCAACCTTTATGCTTTTGTATAGACGATCGGTGAAAGGTCTGCTTTCCAGTTGATTTGTAGTCATTCTTTTCATTGTTATCCCAGCTATCACGATTAAAGAAGGTTTTTCTTATTTCGTTTCATTTTTACCAGTACAGTAATTACAAGAGCAACTTTTTGCACGGTGCACAGGCAAATTTCGGACCCAAATTCTAGGCGAAGCATGAACAGAAGTTGACCGGTTATGTAGGTTCATCACCATGACTTCTAACACCCTAAGCCCTACACCCGAAACCCAAAGCAACAGACTCCCAGGTCTGACCGTGCGCCTGACCTCCCCTGCCGGCCGATCGCGCATCGCTGCTAGACTCGATTTGTGGGTCCCAGGGTTCAGGCAACCCTAATTTTCAGTTTTTCTTGGGGGTTTGGGGTTTTGGTGTTTTGGGGTCCCAAACCCTGATACGGGTGTTGTTTGAGACTTGAGCTTGCGAGGGTGGCGCCCAGGATGGAGGCTTGGGATTTTGCAGCTTTGGGGGTGCTCTTCCGGTTGCTCAAGCTTCCGATACCAACAATACGGATCCCAAAGCCGCACTCATGACTCGGATGCTTGAACTCGGGCACGAATGGCTTTGGACCTAAACTGAACCCCTAGAAACCCCATGCCTAAACAACTTCTTAGCCCGTCGTAATCTCTACTTGCAAACTGTACCCTCCAAGGCCTAGACCACTGTATGTACATTCATATGCTCTTTCTCTCTCTCTCTCTCTGTCTCTCTCTCTCTCTCTCAGTCTATATATATATACATATAGACATACATATATATATATATATACATATATATATATATATGAGCATATATATATATAATTTATTTGTTTTTTTACATGCATGGTCCCTGAGCCCTAAAGCCCCAGTTCCCCATGAGACCGATGCAGGTTCTTCCCAGCAGCTCCACGCCGGGGGACCTTGGCGGGGAGGAAGTGGAAGTTGACCTAAAGTATAAACCCTAAACCCTAAACCCCAAACCCTAAAGTATAGGCTCTGTTTGGTACCTTGAAATTTCGGGTTTAGGGTGTGAAGGAATTGCAATAGGGACCTGCCAAACGCCGCATCATTTACAGATCCCCCCTCCCCCCCCAACCAGTAGAGGAACACCGAGGGTTAGTGTACTGAGGAGCCCGAAAAGAAAACACGAAGAAGTGCTGTGAATCACCGTTTCCTGTACGGACTATTGTTTAGGTTTTGGGGCTGAGATTTTGGTTCAGGGCTCGGGGTGTGGGGTCTCTCAAATTTAGGCAGGGGGTCGGAGTGCCCAGAAGCCTTGAGTTGAATCGTAAATCCCAAGTTGAAGAAGAAAACCGCGCTACATAGAGCTCACAAGCGCGATCTGAGCCCAAGCCCCGCCCGAAGACCTCAACCCAAAAACATCAACTCCCTCTCTAAACCCTAAGTATACGCCTTAATTTCACCCCAACCTTTGGACCCTAAACCTTCCTTGCGAAAGGCTTGCAGACCTCCAGGCAGAGGTGAAGACGCGATGTGGCGTGGAGCCGGGGCCACAGCGCGACGCATTTTCTCAGTTGCTCTCCGAGATTAGGGTTTCGGTTTTTGGCCTTGAGCGTTTGGGTTGTGCAGGCTTTCGGGTTTAGGGTTTAGAGCTATAGGGTTTGATGCGGTGTTTGGGGCCCTTGTTCCTTTTTATGGGTATTTAATATAATAGTATTCCCTTATGGCCCCTAATCACTCTACTATACTGACCCCAAAAACCCTTCAAATTCTTAAGGCCCCTCTATTTGGCTGATGCCTGATACCCTCTCCTTGGGGAAACCTGGCACCTCGCATCCTTGAAACCCCCCGGCAGCTGAAAGTCAGGGCACCCTAGGGCTCGATCCAGAAGCCTGTCATGGTTTGGGGGTCTGGGAGATTTGAGGTTTACAGGGTTTAGGTTAGGTTCATAGTGTGTGTGTGGCTGGGGTTTATAAGG